CCTGAGGACCCCATGTCCATGCCGGTTTCTGTCTTGGGCTGCGAGCCGGCCAGTGCCTTTGGCTTGTCCGCTCCAGCTTCCGAGCCTCACCCACCAGCTCTGCCTGCAGGTCACACTGTCTGCCTCCTCCGTGCCCTGCTGTGCACCAGCCTTCTCTTCCTGGCAGCCCACCTGGCCTTCCAAATCTGCTTGCACACGGTGCCCCGCCTGGACCAGTTACTGGGCCCCAGCTGTGAGTTGAGGGGGGGTGGCTGGGATGGGGGGCCCCAGGGGACTGGTCTTCCAGAGCTGGCCTAGATACTGGAGGTGGAGAGGGTGCTGGGGGTGAGGGGGAGCTTCCCGCAGCCTTGCAGGCAGTTCTTGGAGTCCCCCCAGGCCTGGCCCCTCGGGCCACCCTGCCTTTCCAGGCTTTGCCTAATATGGGTTGCCTTGAACACAGGCTGCGATTTATGTCCAGGGCACACAGCCCCGGCTTTGGTGCTCCCAATAATAACCTGGGCTGGGTTTGGGGCTGAGAATGGCACAGAATTAATCCCAGACCCTGGAGTCCAGGCTCACAGCCTGCAGCCCCTCCCTGTTGTTGGCACCCTCCTTTGGTTCCCTGGCTGCCCTCAGGGTTAGAGACCCAGCCAGGTGGTGCCCTTGGCCCTGCCTACCCACCCTACCACTTCGATAGCTCTCCACGGGGACAGTACCTCCTGTTGGCACTTTCCTAATCGCAGGCCTCCAGCATTGGCCCCCTCGGCCTGCCTGCTGCCAGCTTGCCCCCAGCAATGCCCCGTCCCCACCCTGGTGCCCCATGCTCCTGTCTCACCCCTTGGGCTTAGGGGGTATCCCCATTTTCTTATTGATTCTGGGATGACAATCCCCTTCTGCAGTTTGAAACTGAAGCCCAGGGGCGGGCAACATGCTGACTATGCCCCCAGCACTCCTGTCATCCCCACTTGTCTGGGGCAGCAGACATTGCAATTGGCCCCTGACTCGGTAGGCTTCCCCTGGAGTGGGGAGCCACAACATGTAGCTTGGAGGCCCAGCATGCCTGCCCCTCCCTACCAGGCCACAGGTCCCAGTCCTGCGCTTAGGACTGGGATGGCCTTCCTCTGGCTGGGCCTGTTTCCTGTTGTAAAGGTGGTGGGGATGAGAGCTTGTGAGCACCCTGAGACTGGTCACGGGCCCCAGGCAGTACCCACTGGCAGCCTGCATAGGGAGGTGGCTGCCCATGTGCCCCCGACCTGGTCTTCTCTATGCCTTTCTCTGCAGGCAGCCCCTGGGAGACCCTCTCTCGGCACATTGGGGTCACGAGGTAAGAGCCTCTCCCACAAGCCTCTCTTGGGGTTCCCAGGCCTAGGGCTGAGGTAGCCAGGGAGGGGGCCAGCATCTGCTGAGGGCTCTGTGCCCCATGCCCACCCACTGGTCCCTCTACAGGCTGGATCTGAAAGATATCCCCAACGCCGTACGGCTTGTGGCCCCTGACCTGGGCATCCTGGTGGTCACCTCTGTCTGTCTTGGCCTCTGTGGGCGCCTCAACCGGAAATCCCAGCAGACTCCACACTCCTGGGAGCTGGTGAGGGGCATGGGCAAGTGGGGGACATGTTGGGGGGCACTGCCAGGACCACAGCTCCCAGCCAGTGTGTGGACGACATTACCTCCTATTTTCTTGTGAATACATGCTTTTCACTGTAAGAATGAGTGCCAGCTTGTGGGACAGACACAGCACCCTGGGAGAAAGGAGGAAGCCCCTGTCCCTGGGGCTTGCCACATTTGCAATTTGGGACACGTCCTCTGAGACCTGGTTGTCTGGTGTCAGAGGTGCACAGCCTCCCTAGCACATCTCTGCTTCAGCAACTGCTCACGGGGACCCCTGTGGGCACTGTGCAGGGAGGTCAGTCACTGGGGTAAATGGCCGTGGTGGCTGTGGGCATTGGAACATGCTGCTCGTGGCGGCAGGGGGTTTAGCCCCCCAGGAGCCAAGGCCCTAAGTCAGAGGCCCCATCCTTGGAAGGTGAGGAAAGATCCAGCTCCTAGAGGGTCTGCCTGGGCCCTTAGTCTGCCAGTGGGCCCCTGTGAAGTTTAGCCTGGGTATCCTGGCTGTCAAATGGCTTAGCACCCCTGCCCCCAGCCCTGGCCTCGCCTAATAAGGCCTGGTCCCAAATGCTCAGGCAAGATTTACAGCTGCGATTTATGACCATCCAGGTGTCCAGCACGAGGGGCCCTGCCAGGAACACGTCACCATTCAAGACTCATTTAACCCCTCCTCCCCTATCCCAACCCGTGTGTTGAGTGGGGGAACCTCGGGCCCAGGGAGGGGAAGGGGCCACCTGTGGCCAACGCAGCAAAGGACCTTGAGGCCAAGGGGCTTTTCCCAGTGTTTGTGGGGTTGGGTGTTTGTGGGATCAAGCCAAGACCGGAAGCGCCCTGCCTGCCCTCAAGGCTTATTGGGACCAAGGGCGCCCTCTCTCTGAACTGTCAGCGCCTCCATCACTGGGTCGGGTGTAGGCCGGGTGGCCTCTGGTTTCCCCATTAGCTGGGCCCAGGCTTCCTGGAACAGCTCTGCTGGGAAGGGGCTGAACTGTTCCTGTAGCCTGGGGCGGGAGAAGGCTCAGCTGGCTCCCAGGGAGAGAGGAATGGAGTTCCACTTCCCACCCCAGGCTGCCATCCACCACTCAAGGCCTGGCCACCCGGCCCAGACAGGCTGCACTCGAGCGGCTGTGTGGCCTTGGGTCCAGCTCCCCTCCCGAGCCAGGTGGCCTCAGTGGCAAATGAGAGCCTGCACTATGCTGCCCTGAGTGGCTGGTGTGGACAGATGTTAGTCCTGGTCCCTGACGTGCAGGCAGAGGAGGGTGGGCACCTAGCACATGCTCGACCACAATAAGGGTGCAGTCATAAAACCCAGAGCAACATGCGGACAGATTCACCTGCGGACACATACCCGCTTCTCGGCTCACACATGAACACACATGAAGATGCTGATCCATGGCACATATGTGCCCACATGCACACACAGCCCCCATCATTGTACACATGGGACATATGCGCTCACAATCGCTTTGGAGATACGCCCTCTGGCACATACACACGGCACCCGCACAGGCTCAGGTGGGGTCCCGTGTGGGCTACAGGCTCGCTGTGTGAGGGGGGGTGAAATGAAGGGGACCTGGGTCTCCTGGGGTGGTGTGTGTGGCCTTCCATTGGCCTGACGTGGGGCCCAGCGGCTGGGGGCGGGCAACCTGGAGCACCTGTCTTTCCCTAGCAGCAGCTGCCTCTGTTCTTTCCACTCCCAGAAATGCGCATTTTCCACAGCCCTTCTCCCAAGGTTTCCCAGGGCCGAGGGCCAGGCTGTGGGCGGGTGAGCCCGGGACTGGCGGTCTGGCAGTTCCCCTTCCTCCAGCCTCCCTCCCCCTACTAGGCTGGCCCTCAAGTTGGCTCCTTGTAGCTCCCTCACTGGGGCCAGCAGGGTGAGGATGAGGTTCCCGCACCCGCACACACCAGGGTCTAAGGGAGGACCCTGGAAGGGAAAGGAGTGTCTGGGCATCTGATCCCAGCACTACTAATGGCTGTGCGGCCTCAGAGAGAGAGTGGGCTGGACACTGTGGATGCCAACCCTGTACCCAGCCTGGCACACCCCTCGCCTTCGTCCCCTCCAAGGACAGGTCACCCCCCTGCCTCGGGGCCTTTTCAGCACCCCCCATGGGAGGCCTGTGATTCCAGGACCTGTCTGGTTCATCTCTCCTGTCAGCAACTCAGAGAGGTTAAGTGACTTGCCCAAGGCCACGCAGCTGGGGGGCTGGCAGAGCTGGGATTGGACCAGGTCATCTGGTGCCTGTGCTCAGCCTTGACACTTTGCCACCTCAACTCTGGGGAACGCACTGGCATCCATTTTATAGATGAGGACACTGGGCTGGTCAGCGGCCAAGCTGGGCTGGAGCTGACTCGAGACATGTTCTTTCTGCAACCCCCTAACCTTCCTTGATGCCTGGGAACAGGGAGGCAGGGCTTGGGAACAGGGAGGCAGGGCCAGGGACGCATCTGATGGGGCTGTCCCTCCCTGTGGGCGTGTGAGGTCAGGCATGAGCAGGGCCCAGCATGCAGGGTGGGGGCTGTGCCAGGCAGTCTGCCACCCCGTCCCTGCAGAGGTTGGAAAGTAAGGGACGGCCCCTCAGCCTCAGGCCAGCCAGCTCCTCAGGGGGAGACCAAGAGATGCAGTCCTGCCTGGAGGAGCTGGCAAGGGGCACGCCAGAGTTTCCCTCAGAACACCTTCTGCTGCCCAGAGGCCTGGGTAATGGGAAGGGAGCTGGGTGGCCTGGAAAAGTCACTCCTCATCTCTGGCTTTGGTCTTTTCACGTATAAAGAAGCTGCCTCTTGAACCATGAGGGGCCACAGTGGCTCTGAGAGCATTCTGTAATCTGTGCACGTGGTATATGTGTTCCTGTGTACATTCGATGCTCTCCTTCCTTTCTTGGTAAAAATCTCCACCAGGACCTTTCTTGAGCTACCCGCAGTGTGCCAGGTGCGTGGCGCCCACCCAGCCTGTGGGGGCCTGATGGGGAGAAGGGAGATAGAGTAGGCACTTGAGGTGTTCCAGAATAGTCCGCAGCCAGCTTGCCGTGGTCAGAGCCATTTTGTGTGCAAGGACTTGGCAGGACTGGGGTGGAGGCTGCTTCTGGGAAGGCTTGCAGGTATGTGGAACTGAGCTGGGTGGCAGGGTGGCAGGCGGGCAGACCCCTGGGCGTGGAGAGCAGCATGGGTGAAGGCCAGGAGCCCACGGCCTCTTTGGAGGTGATGGTGGGTGTGTTCTGAGGGTCAGGACAAGACCTTGAGGGCTGGGGCTGCAGCTTCAGGTGCTGGCGCAGGCCCTGTTCTGGGCTGGCGGGACCCTGAGGCTGGATCTGAACACCAGCGCTCCCAGTGGGGGCAGGTGTGGGACCACGCGTCTGACTGCTGCCTCTCCCTCTCCCTGCCACCCCCCATGGCCTTGTCAGGACGATGACGAGAGGGAAGTGGACCCCAGCTCCACCATGGGCCTGCGGGGCACCCCTGTGCTGGCCACCAAGCAGAGGTCACGGCTAGCCACCCGCTTCCGCGTCACAGCCCACTGGCTGCTGGTGGCTGTGGGGCGAGCCCTGGCCATCGTGCTACTAGCACTGACAGGTACCCTCAGGGCAGAGCATGGGCGGGACCCCACAGGGCGGGATTGGGGTCTGCGCTGAGCAGGTGTGAGCCCCACTTCTGCCTGCCCACAGGCATCGCCCACCCCTCGGCCCTCTCTAGCGTCTACCTGCTAGTCTTCCTGGCCATCTGCACCTGGTGGGCCTGCCACTTCCCCATCAGCGCCCAGGGCTTTAGTGCCATCTGTGTGCTGGTGGGCTGCTTTGGCGCTGGCCACCTCCTCTGCCTCTACTGCTACCAGGCACCCTATGCCCAGGAGCTGCTCCCACCCACCAGCATCTGGGCCAGGTGAGCCTATCACTCAGGCCCTGACCCCCATCCGCCTGGCCCACATCCCCACATGGCAGTGGCCAGTGACACCCTTCTCGGCGGCAGGGTGTTTGGTCTCAAGGACTTGGTGCGGCCCACCAACTGCTCCAGCCCCAATGTGCTGGAACTGCACACCGGCCATGACTGGCCCATTTACGTGAGCCCTGGGCTGCTATTGCTGCTGTACAGCACCGTCACCTCGCTGCTCAAGCTGCGCGGGCACCCACACCCTACCCAGGTGAGCCTGCCCACACGGTGCTTTGGGTTGGGGGCCCACCACGGGTCCCAGGCAGCAGGGTGGTCTCCTGGGAACTGACCCTGCCTCATCTCCGCAGAGGAAGGAGGCAGCCAGTGAGGATGAGGAGCGAGAGGTGGAGCTGACCGAGGTGGACCAGTGGCCCAGAGACCAGGCATGGGCTGCTGCCAAGGAGGAAGAGGTCCAAGTGAGGGGCCTGGGCAAAGCGGGGTTGGGGGCTGAGCCAAGCAGGGTGGGGGCCCAGGCACCACCTCCCTCGCTTCTCCACCCCCTCACCCCTGCTCATCCTGGTGCATCCCCTCCAGCACATGATGGCCCCTACACCTGAAACGGATGCTGACAGCTGCATCGTGCACGACCTGACGGCCCAGAGCCCTGTCTGGCAGCGCCCCTGTGAGTACAACACAGTGTAGGCCGCCTGGGACCCAGGGGCAGGGTCTTCCTGGTGGACACCTTTCTCCTACACCGGCATGCCGGGGCCAAGTGCTGCCCCCTGGTGGCCACTGCAGATGGTCTGGCTGCATCGGCTCTAAGCTCACCCTCTCTGTGGTCTCTTCCCCCACAGCCCCTGGGGCCACATCATGCTGAACCCCAAGACCCCACGTGCGCTTCCAGGTCTCCCATTCCTCCCCACCTGCCTCTGGGTTCCAAGCAAACTCGACCACTTGGGTTTGGGCCAGAACCTCTGGGAGCAGCTGCATATGGACCAGAGGCTGGGCCGAGGGTGTCCTGGGCAAATGCCAGCCTGGGACGGTGGACGCTAGCAGTGTCCCCACGGGGAGGGACGAGGGACTTTTCTGGGTGTGTTTTGGTCTTCACCCTAAGTCTTAATTTCCACTCTATGGTTTATCCCTGAGTGTGGGCTGCCCCCAAGGGGAGCTCGAGGCCCTGGCCTTTGGGAGCTACGCCTGAGGATGTCCCGAGCACAGAGAGCAGGGGGCTCAGGGCTGTTGTGGCCATCCTGTCCTGAGTCTTGGGAACCAGTCACCAACAGTTGGGAATAGGGTCAGGCCCCAGGACCAGGACCCTTTCCAATGCCCTCTGCCCCTGTGCCCACCATGAGCAGTCTCCAGGCACAGCCTCCTTCCCTGTGCTGTTCTAGCCCTGCTCCTACCCACATCTGTCCCATGTGGGAGGGGGGCCTGGGAGCCGTCTGGGTGCTGGAGCTACCCCGGCCTGGGCCCTGGCCACTGGCATGACCTCATTCCTCCCATCCAGTGCGTCACAGACTGGCCAAGCACAGAGAGCCATCCCCCCTGCATGGCCTAGGCCACCTCATCATGGGCCAGAGCTATGTGTGTGCCCTCATAGCCATGATGGTAAGGAATTGCCAGGCTAGGCACCCTTGGGGCTGGGCCCTCCGTTGGCTTTCACCACCATCCTAGGGGGAGGGTGGCCATGGTTCACAGCGGGGACTGGGGCTGGTACATCCACCAGAAACAGAGCAGTGAGGCATGTGTATGTGTGCCCCATCTTACATACCTGGGCTTGGCAGGGCATGCTCATCTTCTTGTCCAAGCACCCTGTTGTTTGGGGGCCCAGGGTTTTGATGGGGGATGGGCTGGGCTGCACATACCTTGCCTGTGCAGACCTTGCCTTCCCTGCCCAGGTTTGGAGCATCACCTACCACAGCTGGCTGACCTTTGTGCTGTTACTCTGGGCCTGCCTCATCTGGACGGTGCGGAGCCGCCACCAGCTGGCCATGCTGTGCGCGCCCTTCCTGCTGCTCTATGGGCTGACGCTGTGTGGCCTGAGCTACGTGTGGGCCATGGACCTGCAGCCTGAGCTGCCCACCATGCTGGGTCCCGTCACCCTGCACCAGCTGGGCCTGCAGCACACCCGCTACCCCTGCCTGGACCTTGGTGCCATGGTAAGCAGGCACGGGAGCCATGGGGTCTACCTGGAGACCCACAGTGATGCCACTGTGTGAGTCTGTGTGTGTGTGAACCTGTGAGTGCAAACGTGAAACTACACGTGTGAACCTGTGTATGCATGTGTGAACATGTGTGTGCAAACATGAACGTGTGTATGTGTGAACGTGTGTGCAAGTGTGAGCTTGTGTGTGTGAACCTTTGTGGGTATGAGCATGTCAACCTAAGTGTGTGTGCACATATGTGTGAATGTGTGTGTGCAGATGTGTGAGCCTGTGTGTGTGTGTGTGTATGTGTGTGTGTGTGAGAACACGTGAGCTTATGCTCGAAGGAGGACTATTGTGGGCCTCCTCTCTGCCTGAGGGGCTCTCTCCCAGCCCCACAGCTTCTTGGCCCTGGGACTGGGAGGGGCGCTAGGCAGCCCAGCTCTCAGTGACCATCTGCCCACCCCCAGCTGCTCTACACCCTCACCTTCTGGCTCCTGCTGCGCCAGTTCGTCAAAGAGAAGCTGCTAAGGAAGGCAAAGCCCCCGTCCGCACTGACAGAGGTCACCGTGGCAGAGTCAGGTGAGCCGGGCAGGCCAAGTGTGGGAGGCCCCTGCCTGCCTGCCCTGGAAGCCAAACTGCCCTCCTCCTGGTGGCCCACAGAGCCTTCGCAGACACGGACGCTGCTCCGGAGCCTCGGGGAGCTGGTCTCTGGCATGTACGCAAAGTACTGGATCTATGTGTGCGCCGGCATGTTCATCGTGGTTAGTTTTGCTGGCCGCCTTGTAGTCTACAAGATCGTCTACATGTTCCTCTTCCTGCTCTGCCTCACCCTCTTCCAGGTACCTGGGGATGGGAGTGGGGCAGTGACGGGTCAACAAGGGAGGGAGAGCAGTCAGGCAGGAGAGCGGTGGATGGGGGTGGGGAGTGGGCAAGGGAGGTGAAGCAGGGGGAGTGGTTAGCAGGCAGGCAGGGGGCATGGTGGGTGGGCAGGATAGGGGAGCAGTGGGCAGGTAGGGTGGGAGAGGGAGTGGTAGGTGATCCTGGCCCTCCTGTCCTGGCATCCCACAGGGGTGTGTTGCTGGGGGAAGATCCAGGCTGGGTTCCTGCTCTCCTGGAGCCCCCTGCCCTGCCTGCCCAGCCCTCACGTCCATGCCCCGACTCCCCCACAGGTCTACTACAGCCTGTGGCGGAACCTGCTCAAGGTGTTCTGGTGGCTGGTGGTGGCCTACACCATGCTGGTGCTCATCGCCGTCTACACCTTCCAGTTCCAGGACTTCCCCACTTACTGGCGCAACCTGACCGGCTTCACTGATGAGCAGTGCGTAGCAGGGGGTGGATGTTCGACTCGGTAGGGGGTCAGGCGGGGGCCAGTGTGGGGGCTGCAGCCAGGCAGTGCTGACACCTGCTGCCCCCAGGCTGGGCGACCTGGGCCTGGAGCAGTTCAGCGTGTCTGAGCTCTTCTCGAGCATCCTCATCCCTGGCTTCTTCCTGCTCGCCTGCATTCTGCAGCTGCACTACTTCCACCGGCCCTTCATGCAGCTCACCGACCTGGAGCACGTGCCCGCTCCCAGGGCCTGCCTCCGGCGCTGGGCCCACAGGTGCCACTCTGCCCCGCTTCTGTCCCCCTGTCCCCTCCCCGTGCCTCTAGCAGGTGCAGGCACCGCCCAGGCCCCATGGAGCACCCCACCGGTGATGGGCATGTAGAAGGCCGGGAAGGATGGCAGGTTCAGATGGTCCATTGCTGGACCTTGGAGCTGAGTGTCCTCTTGAGCCCCAGTAGGGCTGGGGCACCTCAAGAGGTCCAGGGCAGGATTCCAGTGACCCCTGGTGGTGCAGGGTTGGCAGAGGAGATGCTGGGGGTGTTCTTTCAGCTGCAGAGGGGAGGGGAGTAGACAGGCCTGCCTGGCAGCCAGGTGGGAAGTGACTCTTGGCCCATCGTAGGCAGGACATGGTGAGCGGGGCCCCGTTGCTGCTGCAGCAGGAGGAGGTGGTGGCAGCCCCTGGGGACGAGGGGCTGAGCATAGCTGGCCCCCACCAGGCCAAGCAGAGCCCTGAAGGTGAGTGGGGTGGGCAGGGCCACAGAGAGAGGTACACAGTGGGATAGAGGAGCTTCCCGGCAGCCTGACCTGGCTCACCACCCTCCCTCCCTCCCCCAAAGCCTCAGCCAACAAGTGGGGCCTCGTGGCAGAGCGGCTGCTGGAGCTGGCGGCCAGCTTCTCGGCTGTCCTGGCCCATGTGCAGGTGTTTGTGCGGCGCCTGCTGGAACTGCATATCTTCAAACTGGTGGCCCTGTACACTGTCTGGGTGGCCCTAAAGGAGGTGAGCAGTGGTGGAACCAGGTGCACCCATGAGAGTGAGACAGGGACCTCTCCCTCTGAGCCTGTTTCCTCATCTGTGAAATGGGGCCACTCGTGGTCCACTCCTGCTGGGCTCTGAGCTCAGGATGTGGGGATGTGGGGCCCTAGGGTACAGGCCACTGTGCCTCACCCACTCTTGGGCTCATCCTGCCCTGCCCGCCTCCCACAGGTGTCGGTGATGAACTTCCTGCTGGTGGTGCTGTGGGCCTTCGCCCTGCCCTACCCCCGATTCCGGCCTATGGCCTCCTGCCTGTCTACCGTGTGGACGTGCATCATCATCGTGTGCAAGATGCTCTACCAGCTCACAATTGTTAACCCCCACGAGTACTCCAGCAACTGCACAGAGGTACTGGCACACCTGAGGCGCTCAGAGCGGCTGCAGAGGGCCTATCCCTGGGGGACCGGAAGGCTTCCGGGAGGAGGTATCCTCCAACCTGGTCTAAAAAGACCCAGAAGCCCCCCTTCCCCCTCTTCCCCGTGCTAAGGTGTTTTGTGAGCACTTTCCAGCTCAAGGAGGTGCTTGGCCTGGCTGATTGCCAGACGACTGCAGGTCATGGTGTGAGGGGCAGTGAGAACTGAGGGGGCAGCCCTGTTGGAGCTTTCTCCACTCTTTCTCACCTTCTCTTGGGTATCTTCTCACTCCCCTGTCCTAGCCCAGCCTGTGGCCTCCCCATGCCCCACATGCCTGCCCCTTTCCCCATAAAGGCAGCTCCAGGCTAATGTCCCCACACGTCCCCGGAGGTGGCAGCTCTTCCCTGGCCCAGAGCCATGGTGTGTGGGATGGGAGTGTGAGGTAGGGCTGGGCTGGTGGTATCTGGGGCCAGGATCCTGCCCCTCACCCGCCCGGGCTCCAAGCCTGGGGCTGGGGTATGACACGTGCTCCCCTTTGCTAGCCCCTTCCCAATAGCACCAACCTGCTGAAGGCAGAGATTAACCAGTCCTTGCTGTACCGAGGGCCAGTTGACCCCGCCAACTGGTTCGGGGTGCGAAAGGGCTTCCCCAACCTGGGCTACATCCAGGTGAGTCCGGGCGGGGGAGGATGGCCAGGGCAGGGAGGGGCTGGCAGGGTGGGGTGGGGCTGGTGGGATGGGTGGGGACATGGGGCGGGTTTGAGTGGGTGAAGCTGGCTGGGAGGGGTGGGTGAGGTGAGGTAGGATCAGTGGGGTAGTCGACCCAGTGGGCAGGGGTGGGCCAGGCTGTGAGCAGGCCCTGATGCCGCAACCCCCCGCCCAGAACCACCTGCAGATCCTGCTGCTGTTGGTGTTCGAGGCCATTGTGTACCGCCGCCAGGAGTACTACCGCCGCCAGTACCAGCCAACCCCGCTACCCGCCCAGGCTGTCTGTGCTAACGGCACCCGCCAGCAGCTCGACCGAGACCTGCTCAGCTGCCTCAAGTACTTCGTCAACTTCTTCTTCTACAAATTTGGGCTGGAGGTGAGGCGACTGGCGTCAACCCCTCCCTAGGGTGGCCTCATTGTCCCCTGTAGGGCATCCACTGAGCATCAAAAGCACATGGACACGATGGGAGCTGTGCCCCTGCCCTTGAGCAACGTGAGGCAGGAGGCATAGATGGGGACTGGCTCACAGCAGGGATGTCCGAGGCACACAGGGCGTTGAGGGCCCGGAGAGGGGCCACCTCTGAGGGCACTACCCTGGAAGGACCAGCAGGCTCTCCCCTGTGTCCACCGTTGGGGTTCAGCCTCACAGTCTGGCTCATGAAGTTGGCCCTGGGTGCTGGTGCTGAGTGTAGTGAGGGGCGGCCTGTGGCTGAACCTCTCCTGGGCCTGGCTGGCTCAGAGGCAGGGGTAGACAGGGTGGTGGAGGGCCTGGCTCAGGCAGGATGTGGGGTTTGAGCTCCCTTTTCCCTGAACCTCAGTGTCCTCCTCATCATGGAGACTCAAGCACAGGGGGGCAGGTGCCCCCACACCCCATGCAGGGCCCTGGCCTTGCAGCAGGGAATGCTCAGCACTCAGACTCCTCCCGCCCAACTCTGGGCTCTCGGGACCTGCTGTGCCCCTGCGTTGAGGCTTGCGCAGGCAGGGTGAGAGTAACGCCCCTTCTCGCCCCCCAGATCTGCTTCCTGATGGCAGTGAATGTGATCGGGCAGCGCATGAACTTCATGGTCATCCTGCATGGCTGCTGGCTGGTGGCTGTCCTCACCCGCCGGCGCCGTGGAGCCATCGCCCGCCTCTGGCCCAACTATTGTCTCTTTCTCACACTCTTCCTCCTCTACCAGTACTTGCTGTGCCTGGGTATCCCACCCGCCCTCTGCCTGGGTAAGCCGGAGCAGGTGTGGCTGTGTGACCACGGGCATGTGGGAGCAGGCATGAGCATGGGGGCCCATGAGCGAGGTGACCAGGCACCCACCACCTTTGTCTGGGTGAGCCACAGCAGACATGGGTGTGTGGGAGCGGGCATGGGCATGAGGACCCAAGAGTGAGGAGACCAGGCACCCACAGCCCTGTGCCTGAGTGAGCCAGAGTGGGCACGGGTGTGCAGGAGCAGGCATGGGCCTGTGGGTCTGAGGAAAGGGTGACCAGACACCTGCCGCCTTGTGCCTGGGTAAGCCAGAACGGGAGCAGGTATGTGGGTCCAAGTGTGGCATTAGGGTGTCGGTGAGAGACTGAGTGCCTGTGAGCTGGGGTTGGGGTGGTATCTGGGTACATGGGAGTAGCTAGGGCTTGTGGGCACTTTTGGGGCCATGTGGAGCTCTGTAGGTATGTTTCCTGTCTCCCCTGGTCCCTCATCCATCTTCCTGGAGTTAGCCTCAGCCCTCCTATCCCCTCACCGCCACCAACTCACCCCCTTCTCGTGACATCCCCAGCTGTAGCCACCCTGTCTCTGAGGGAAGCAGCACTGTCCTCTGAACCAGCCTCCCCAGATCATTTTTTTCCCTTTTTGCCCATCATTCTCTTCTAGGGAAATTCAAACCTTCAAAAAAGCTGTGTGCACATCCCTTTTCAAGTGTCTCCATCCCTTTTGGAGCATATCCTTGCTTTCTGGTTCCACAGGGTGTTCCAGCCTCACCTTGATTTCCTGTGCCCAGCTCTGAAATCAACCGCTTCCCAAAGAAACCCTGCTTCCTTTTAGTGGACAATGGAGTTTAGTAACTAAGACCTGGGCACTGGGGGTTCTCATTACTCCTGGGTGTTACTGCTCTGATGCCGCCCTCTCAGGGAGGCCTTCCCTGACCACCGGCCTCGAGCAGAGCGCACCTGTTTGCCCCATGACACTGTGGGCTGCCACACAATTCTTTTTCCTCCTAGGGGCCTAATCCATGCTTAAGAAATGTGTATCCTAAGAACGTGCTGGAATTTCTGGGTTTGCGTGTGTTCAGACTCCAAGTGTGAGTGATGTGTGAGCACATGTGAGTGTTTGCATGGGTGTGTGAGTATGTGTGAGTGTATGTGCTGTGTGTGTGTGTGTGGATGGGGACGAGCTGTACATGGAAGTGTTTGAGTGTGGGTGGGTGTGAGTTATACAAGTGGGTATGCATGTGAATGTGCGTGTGTGTGTGATTGTGCACTGTGTGAATGCATGTTGAGTGTGTCTGTGTAGTGTGTGTGGGCCTAAGAACTCCAATTCCCTTGGACATGGGTGGTCTGTGAGGGCATTACAGTCCCTCGTGGGCACATCTGGAGCCCTGGGTCAGCCCAGCCCCCTCCCAACACAACCCTCCACCCACAGACTACCCATGGCGCTGGAGCCAGGCCATCCCCATGAACTCTGCTCTCATCAAGTGGCTGTACCTGCCTGACTTCTTCAAGGCCCCCAACTCCACCAACCTTATCAGTGAGTGCCCCCCCCAGGACTGAGGCCCCAGCTTTCTAAGGAGGATACCCTCTTCTGGCCTGCACACAAGGGTATCAAGCCCGTGAGAACACAGGATGTGCAAGCTTAGGCCTGGCTGAGTCCAATCCTGTGCTTCCTGAGTGGGTCCCCATGTCTTACAGGCACAGCCACAAGATACAGAGTGGCACAGACTCACCTGTGCATACACAGAGGATGTGAGCACATATGTGGACACTGGGGCACAGACATGCACACACATGGACACCAGGGTGCAGACACACACGTGGACATGGGAACATTGATACACACACATGTGGACACCAGGGTACAGATACGCACACACATGGACACAGGAACATAGACATGCACACATATGGATACTAAGGCACAGACATGCACACATGTGGACACAGGAACATAGACATGCATACACGTGGACACCAGGGCACAGGCATACACACGTGGACATGGAATATAGACAGTAAACACATGGACACTAGGGTACAGACACGCACACGTGGACACCAGAGTGCACATGTGCACACAGATAGATGGGTATGTTCACAGAACATGGGCACCCATGTGCACAGACACCCATGTTCGCAGACAGGTGTGCCCTGTGCAGAAGCCTATGCCCCTGGGCTCACACAGGTGGATGTGCACCCTCCACGTATGCACACACTGATGCATAGCTTCTCGCAGGTCTGGGGGCCTTGGGCATGCCCGGCCAGTAGGCTCCTAGGACAGTGCACTCTGTTCCTGCAGACGACTTCCTCCTGCTGCTCTGCGCCTCCCAGCAGTGGCAGGTATTCGTGGCTGAACGCACTGAGGAGTGGCAGCACATGGCTGGTGTCAACACTGACTACCTGGAGCCACTGCGAGGGGAGCCCAACCCTGTGCCCAACTTCATCCACTGCAGGTGGGCTGAGAGCAAAGGGCCAGGCAGGCCCATGAGGTCCTGGGGAGTCAGGGTAGCAAGCCTTCTGGGAGGCCATGGGGTCCGAGCTGGCATAGGGGGACCAGGGGGACCAGGGAGGCCCTGCAGTCACACGTTTGCCCCCAACGGCGGCAGGTCGTACCTGGACATGGTGAAGGTGGCCGTCTTCCGTCATCTCTTCTGGCTGGTGCTGGTGGTGGTGTTCATCACGGGGGCCACCCGCATCAGCATCTTCGGCCTGGGCTACCTGCTGGCCTGCTTCTACCTGCTGCTCTTTGGCACTGCGCTGCTGCGTAAGGACACGCACGCCCGCCTTGTGCTATGGGACTGCCTCATCCTCTACAACGTCACCGTCATTGTCTCCAAGAACATGCTCTCGGTGAGCGGCCAGCCTAGCACCCTGACCCAACCCCCTACCCCTGTAGGCCCAGGCTGACCCTCGTTCTTCTCCCCAGCTCCTGTCCTGTGTCTTCGTAGAGCAAATGCAGAGCAGCTTCTGTTGGGTCATCCAGCTCTTCAGCCTCGTGTGCACTGTCAAGGGCTATTATGATCGTGAGTGTGGCGGGGTGGTCAGGGGAGATAGGGACACAGGGTCGGGTGAGGGGAGATGATTTGGGGCACATTGCAGGGCATATGCACACAGAACGTACATGCACAACACGTGCATGCGCCTAGCACACACACAGCACACAAATCATGAGGTACTTGCATAGCACACACATATACTGCACACACAGCACACATGCATAGCACACACACAGCATACACACAGCACATGCCCTGCACACACACAGCACATGTAGACACACACTCGCGCCCCGGTCCCTGACCTGGCGCCCTTGCGCAGCCAATGCGATGGTGGGCAAGGACCAGGACTGCGTGCTGCCCGTGGAGGAGGCCGGCATCATCTGGGACAGTGTCTGCTTCTTCTTCCTGCTGCTGCAGCGCCGTGTCTTCCTCAGCTACTACTTCCTGCATGTGGCTGCCGACCTCCAGGCCACCGCCCTGCAGGCCTCCAGGTGCGGCTCCTGCTCAGGGCTTTGAGGGTGCAGCTCCGGGGCCCACTGTCCCAACCATGCCGTGTTGCTCCCCAAAGCCGGGCTGGGGCAGGCACAGCTGCTCCCTGGTGTCAGTGGGTCACTTGGAGGGGGAACTGGAGCCCTGTAGACCTGCACCCTGGCCAACCCACATCTGCCGGTGCTCTTGGGCAATGCCCCAAAGAGCAGAGTGCTACATGGGCTGTGCCATCAGCCGGGGTCCCCTTGCCAGCCTGAGTACCCCATCAGCAGCTGAGGGGCCTGGCACAGCATCTCAGAGTCCCTGGGGAGACATAGGCCTTTGCTGAGCTCTTCGCCTCAGTGCCTTCAATGGCTGCCATGCCTCACCACAGTGGCTGGTTGGGCTGTGACTGTATGTTTTCCTACACCAGACTGGAGTAGCCAGGTGGCTGAGTGCACAGTGGGGCCAAGGGAAGTGGCTGCTTAGAGTTGCGGGTGGGGAACAGGATGGGCACCCTGGACTCCTGGGGTGGTGCTCGGGAGAGAGGAAGCCAAGGCCATGCTGGGTGTGAGAGGAGCCCTGCCCAGTGGTAGCGGGGCCTTGGGGAGCTCCAAGGGATGGAAGGTTAGGAGGAGTTCAAGGTGGGGGGCTGGGGAAGCCTTGAGTTGGGGGCTGGGTGCAGCTGGATGGAGTCTCACCCCTGCCCCACAGGGGCTTCGCCCTGTACCATGCAGCCAGCCTCAAGAGCATCGATGCCCACCGCAGGGCAGAGGAGAAGTCCCTGGCCCAGCTGAAAAGACAGTAGGTGCCCCCCCAACCCGGGTCCTCTGGCGGGCAGTGCTGCAGGAGGGCCAGCTGTTGCTGAAACCCCACTCCCACCCCCAGGATGGAGCGCATCCGTGCCAAGCAAGAGAAGCATCGACAGGGCCGTGTGGATCATGACTACCCCAAGGATCCTGGGGACCCCAGCCAGGAGCCAGGTGAGCGCCAGTGAGCCCACCACACCCAGGAGCATCTGTGCCACGATGTCTCGGCTCCCTGCTTGTCTGCTGCGGCCATGGCCAGCATCACCGCCCTGTCACCTGTCACATGGGCGCTGTATCTGTCCACGTCTGCTATATGACCACCTGCTCGCCCATCCACCTCTTGCTGCTCTGCTCACGCCTGCCTGTTCTGCCCCCTCCACAGGACCCGGCAGTCCAGGGGGTACCTCCCCGCCACAGAGACAGTGGTGGCGGCCCTGGCTGGACCATGCCACAGGTACACCCCAATGGTCTGCCTGACCAGCGGCCCCCTACCCTGCCCCTGCCGCTTTCTCAGCTCTGCCATCCCTGGCCCTGGCCCCTCCACTGCGGAGCCCTGGCCTTTGTGTGCTCTCCTCCTCTTGTGATTTCCTGGAACCCCTGTGCTGAGGATGTTCGGGGACGTGCTCAGAGTCATGCTAGCAGGGCTGAGCATCCATCTGTCCTGGGTCCCCAACAACAAGCTCAGTAGTCTCTCCTGGCTTTCCACCTCTGGAACTCACTGCCCGCTCACTGATGTCCACAGTCTCTGCCGTGTCTGCAGCACACCCTCCCCTGCCCCATCCATTCCTCTCGCCTGCTTTCTTGATGTGTTCTTCCTTGTCCAGTTTCTCGTCCACTGCTGTGTCCTGTGCCTGTGGCAGCCTCTGAAAAAAGATGGCCTTGATGTGGAGCCCGGGGCTGTGCTGGCCTGTCGGGGGAGGCACTGGTCCTTTCGTTCACTCCACTGCAGAAATGAGCTCGTGGTGTGGAAGTCTTGGTGGGGAGGGGAGCCAGGCCAGGGAGCAGCCCTCACCCCGCCCTGTGCCCGCAGTGATCCACTCAGGGGACTACTTCCTGTTTGAGTCAGACAGTGAAGAGGAGGAGGAGGCACAGCCTGAGGACACCAGGCCATCAGCACAGAGTGCCTTCCAGGTGAGGATGGATGCCACTGGCCTGGGGGCACTGGGAACCCGGCTCCCACCTCCCCACGGGGGCCCTACCCTAGCCCCCTTCAGACACCAGGCACGCAAGCAGGGCAGCAGCCAACCCCCTCCTTGCCTCACCCCTGCTGCAGGAGTGCCCCTCTGTGTGGCGTCCCTGGTTCCTGGAACAGGCCTGGTAGGCACCCAAGGTGACAGTGGGCACCCCACTTCCTAACAAGGCTCAGAGCAGTCACATTCCCCTGCTGAGCACCCCAGACCCCTCCCCTTATCACCCCCTGAGGCAGCCTCTGCTCTCTGCTGTCCTCGGTGCTGGCACAGTGCCTGGTGGATCAGGAACCCAAGGTCCTGCACCAAGTGGGTCCAGTGGTCGTCTGGCTGGAGTGGCTGGGGCCTGGCCTCAGCCAGGGTCCTGACCCTAGGCCCTGTCCTCAGATGGCATACCAGGCGTGGGTGACCAATGCCCAGACGGTTCTGCAGCGGCGACGGCAGGAACAGCCACGGCAGGAAAGGGCAGAGGCGGGGCAGGAACCCATGGGTGAGTCAGCATGGGCCAGCCCCCCAGAGCCCTGGGTGGAGTACTGCCCGTGGCAGCCAGGCCCTGACCAGTGCTCTGTGCCCAGGAGGTGGCCTGAGCCAGGAGGTTGAGCCAGAAGAGGGTCTGGAGAACGAGGCAGCAGGTGCGTGAGCCCCACAGACTTTGGGGTGGGGGTGAAAGTGGGTGGGGGTGGGAAGAAGTGGACTCGCCAGCATCTGCCCGTGCCCCCAGCACCTCTTCCCCCCCAGGCCACAGCCATGTGATGCAGCGGGTGCTGAGTATGGTGCAGTTCCTGTGGGTTTTGGGCCAGGCGCTGGTGGATGGGCTGACGCGCTGGCTGCAGGCCTTTACACGCCACCACCGTACCATGAGTGATGTGCTGCGTGCTGAGCGCTACCTCCTCACGCAGGAGCTGCTGCGGGTGAGCACCCCCCCCCCATGCCCACCACCCTGGGGTCTGGCCACCTGTGACTATCCCATGCCCACAGGGCGGAGAGGTGCACCGGGGCATCCTGGACCAGCTGTATGTGAGCGAGGACGAGGCTGAGCTGCCAGGCCCTGCAGATGGCCCTGAGGCGCCGAGCACAGCATCAAGGCAGGTGCATAGGGGCTGGAGGAGGGCACCCACCTGACCCCGCCGCCTCCTGGCCTGGACCCTGACCAGGACACAGCCACCTTCTGCTCTGGATCCCACCTCAACCCCATCCCTTCCTACCCTGACTCTGCCCCCTCCCAGCCAGATCCTGGACCCCCACCCCTTTGCCTGCCTACCCTGGAAGCTCCTGGGGCCAGATGCTGCCAGAGAGTGCCCAGCACCCTGGCTGTCCAGTCTCATTGGTCATCCCGACCTTCTGGTCCCCCTTCTTCCTCCATCCTCCCAAGCCCATGTGACCCAGACCTCTTCCACCCACAGTGGTCTCGGAGCTGAGGAGCCACTGAGCAGCACAACCAAGGACACCAGCAGGCCCCTGACCATGGGCTACAACACCTGCAGCAACAGCCAGGAGGTTGCGGCCGACCCCTCAAGCCCTGAGGCTGGACCCTCCCGACGCGGCTCCCGAGAACTTCTAGCCAATGCACGCACGCGGACATGCACGGCCAGCGAGCTGCTGCTCAACAGGTGTGGGTGGGGGCAGGGCAGGGCAGCAGCTGTACATCCCAGTGCCTTGGCTCTGCTCCACCTGGGACATGCCCCAGGGGCTAGGAGGAGCCCACCCTGGGAGACTCACCCCATCCTCGCCCCCTATGGTTTGCCCTGCCCAGCCCAGTGTTGCCAGCCCCTTGTGGTCCACGTCCCCCTCTTTGGTCCACCCAGTCAGCCTGGGGTCACCCGTCTGCCTGGCCTCCCACAGGCGCCTGCAAATCCACGAGCTGGAGGAGGCAAAACAATTCTCAGCCGGGCAAGGCCGAGCGCTGCGGCTCCTGCAGGCTGGGTACGAGTGTGTGGCCGCCCACTCGGAGCTGCTCTGCTACTTCATCATCATCCTCAACCACATGGTCACCGCCTCGGCCGCCTCCCTCGTGGTGCCCGTGCTGGTCTTCCTGTGGGCCATGCTGTCCATCCCTCGGCCCAGCAAGCGCTTCTGGATGACAGCCATCGTCTTCACCGAGGTGGATGCTGCCAGGCGGGGTGGGGTGGGGTGGGGTGCAGGCGGCCCCTGCATGCTGAACCCCCATCTGCCTGCCCCTCCACAGGTCACGGTGGTCACCAAGTACCTCTTCCAGTTTGGCTTCTTCCCCTGGAACAGCTACTCAGTGCTGCGGCGCCATGAGAACAAGCCCTACTTCCCACCACGCATTCTGGGCCTGGAGAAGACTGACGGCTACCTCAAGTATGACCTGGTGCAGCTCATGGTGCTGTTCTTCCACCGCTCCCAGCTGCTGGTGGGTGCCACTATGCCCAGCGGGCAGGGGGACACCGAGGGCAGCAAGCACCAAGGAGAGAGAACACACCCACGACACGAGCACCGAGGAGGGGGGACACCCAGGACAGCAAGCACTGAGGAATAGAGAGACACACAGGACAGCAAGCACTGAGGAGGGGGGCACACCCAGGACAGCGATTGCCAAGTGGGGCGGGGGAGTGGGTATACCCAGGACAGCATCAGGGACTGGATGGGGCAGGTGGCTCCTAGGACAGTACTGAGGACGGGTCAGGTGGTTGGGCAGTCTCCAGCACCCTCTTGGGCCCAGGCCCACATCAGGAGTGGGTTGTGGCTGTGACGCCCCAGGCAGCCCAGGAAGGGGCAGGGCTGGCCTCTCCCTCACTGATCCTTTCCCTCTACCCCTCTGGCAGTGCTATGGCCTCTGGGACCACGAGGAGGACCCACTCTCCAAGGAGCCTGACCGAGGCAGTGGGAAGGAGAAGGGGGCTGGGGAGGAGCCTGCAGCCCTGCTGGGATCCCAGACGGAGCTAGGGGTGGCCAGGACCCCACTCGAGGACAACGTCCAGGCAGAAGCTAGGGCTGGGCCCGAGGATGAGCCCTCAGAGCCTGAAGTGGAGCTCAAGCCGCACGGCCTGAGGCACATCAGCCTGCGTTTCAGGAGAAGAAAGAGAGAGAGCCCACAGCCCAAAGGACTGGCAGCCGGTGGTATAGTCTCTCTGATTCACAGTAACTCAGAGTCTACCATCCTTACTGCACACTGTTTGCCCCCAGCCAGCCATATAGTCACCCCAATCCACAGTAACTCAGGGTCCACAATCCTTATCACCCACCATCTGCCCCCCAGCCCCATCTCTGGGGAGGTGGATGAGGCAGAGAGGCCCATTTCACAGCTGAGACTGCCAAGGCCCAGCACCGGCCAACCCAGGACTCTAGCACTGCACTGAGGCCAGGGGCTCTGGCCCTTTTGGGGAGCCTGTACCTGTGCCCAGCCTTGGTTGCCGGCACAGTGCAGGGTAAGAGGCCCACTGGCCTGGACTGGACCTCGATGTTGCCCTGTACAGAAGCCATGGCCCCACTGCTGGGGAACACTGGCATCATGCCTGGGCTCAAGTCTCCTCATCTGCAAAATGAGGCAATGTCAGCCTCCCAGGCTTGTCTCAGGGGTCAGGGGAGTGAGTCCGGCCCAGCCCTGGAGCTCCATCAGCAGCAGCTTCTTCCCACAGGATCTGGGGATGGGGAAGAGGAAGAGGAGGAAGAGGAGGACGATGTGGCTCCTGGGAGAGCCAAGAGACCGAGCGGCTCCCGGCAGAGGGTGAAGGCAGCTGGGCTGCGGCTACAGAGCTTCTGCCTGTCGCTGTGAGTGACGCGGCCCCGGGAACAGTCCTGGGCAGGGATGGTGCAGGGATGGAGGAGAGTCCTGAGGCCAGCATGGAGCCTGAACCCACCGGTGCCTGCCGCCTGCCTGCCTGCAGGGCCAACAGCACGTTCCGGCCCCTGCAGCAATTCTTCCATGACATTCTGCACACCAAGTACCGTGCAGCCACCGATGTCTATGCGCTCATGTTCCTGGCTGATGTTGTTGACTTCATCATCATCATCTTCGGCTTCTGGGCCTTTGGGGTGAGCCAGAGCCCTAGGTCACTCCAGGGTGGCAGGGATGCACAGCCAGCCCCAGCGAGTGACTCATGTGCTCTCTGGTCACAGAAGCACTCGGCGGCCACAGACATCACATCCTCGCTGTCGGACGACCAGGTGCCCGAGGCTTTCCTGGTGATGCTGCTGATCCAGTTCAGCACCATGGTGGTTGACCGTGCCCTCTACCTGCGTAAGACTGTGCTGGGCAAGCTGGCCTTCCAGGTGGTGCTGGTGCTGGCCATCCACCTGTGGATGTTCTTTATCCTGCCTGCTGTCACTGAGAGGTGGGCCGGGCACCCTCACTCGGGCAGGGAGGTCATGGGCTCGGCCAAGACTGGGTCCGATGGCGCCCTCACCTGGCCTGGGCGGTCTCCACAGGATGTTCAGCCAGAATGCGGTGGCCCAGTTGTGGTACTTCGTCAAGTGCATCTACTTTGCCCTGTCTGCCTACCAGATCCGCTGCGGCTACCCTACCCGCATCCTGGGCAACTTCCTCACCAAGAAGTATAACCACCTCAACCTCTTCCTCTTCCAGGGGTAAGTGTGGGCCTATGGGCTGCAGAGGAGGTGCCAGGCGTCCCTCCCTCGGGCCCACCTAACAAGGGTCCTTCTGCCATGGGCAGGTTTCGGCTGGTGCCGTTCCTGGTGGAGCTGCGGGCGGTGATGGACTGGGTGTGGACGGACACCACACTATCCCTGTCGAACTGGATGTGCGTGGAGGACATCTACGCCAACATCTTCATCATCAAGTGCAGCCGAGAGACAGAGAAGGTAGCATGGCCCAGGCAGAGGTTACTTCGGGGAAGTGGGGGGCACTGTCCAGTCCCTCCTGGTGGGCACAAGGTCCTGGTGGTGTGGAGCCTGCACTTGGGCAGCCCTGTCAGAGCTAGAAAACTACCACAGTCCTGAGAGGGGTCTTCCTAAGAGGGCCAGACGGGGCTTCATGGAAGGGCCTTCGAGGAAGGGCTGGTGGACTCAGTCCTAATACAAGGGATCTCAGCAAAGGGCCTGGGCAGGAGACCCGACTGGCTTGGCTTCGGGGCCATAGGTGTGCCAGGGCTGGGGGATGAGGCCAGCAAGGCAGCTGCGGGGGCACTAGAATGTTGTTTTTGAACAGCTTTATTGAGATATAACACACACCACACAATTCATCCGTTTAAAGTACACAATTCAGTGGCTTTTTAGCGTAGTCACAGAGCTGTGCATCCATCACCATATCAATTTTAGAATGCCTTCATCCCCCGACAAAACCCTGCCCCCCTTAGCTGTCAACACCACCCCCCCCACACACACTTACTTCCAAACCCATGGCAACCACTAATCTTTCTGTCTCTATGGATTCTCCTGTTTTGATGTTTCATATGAATGGACTCATACAATATGTGGTCATTTGTGACTGGCTTCTTTCACTTAGCATGTTTTCAAGGTTCATTTGCATTGTAGCAGGTATCATTCACCCTCTTTTTACCGCTAACACTCCATTGTATGGATGGACCACACTTTGTTTATCCATTCATCGGTTGGTGGACATCTGGGTTGTTTCTACTTTGATTCTTATGAATAATGCTTCTATGAACATTTGTGTACAAGCTTCTGTATGGACATGTTTTCGTTTCTCTTGGATAACTACCTAGGAGTGGAATTGCTGGGTCATATAGTAACTCCATGTCTCACATTTTGCGGAACTGCCCAACTGTCTTCCAAGTGGCTACATCATTCTGTATTCCCCCCAGCAATGTAGGAGAGTTCTAACTTCTCCACCTCCTCACCAACACTTGTTTTTTTTATTATCACTATCCTAGTGTGAAGTGGAATCTCATTGTGGTTTTGATTTACATCTCCCTGATGACTGATGATGTTGAGCATCATTTCATATGCTTATTGGCCACTTATGTATCTTCTTTAGAGAACTGTCTATTCAAGTTCTTTGCTCATTTTTTAAACCAAGTTGTCTATTTTTAAATGAGGTATTTAAGAGTTTTTTATATATATTCTAGATACTAGAATCTTATTGGATCTGTGACTTGCAAAAATTTTCTCCCATTCTGTGGATTGACTTTTCACTTACTTAACGGTGTCTTTTGAAGCACAAAAGTTTTTAATGATGATGATGTCCAGTTTATTTATTCTCTGATTGCCTGTGTTTTGGGTATCATACCTAAGAAACCTTTGCCTAACCTAAGGTCATGGAGATTTACCCCTGTGTTTTCTTGTAAGAGTTTTATGGTTTTAGCTCTTTTGGATCTTTGATCCATTTTGAGTTGTCATGTATGGTGTGAGGCCGGGGTCCATCTCCATTCTTTCACATGTGGCTATCAGCTGTCCCAGCACCATTTGTTGAAGAGACTGTCCTTTCCCCCACTGAAAGGTCTTGTCACCCTTGTCACATAATCAATTGACCATAGATGTGAGGGTTTATTTCTGGACTTTCAGTTCTATTCCATTGATCTGTATGCTTGCCCTTAGACGAGTACCACAGTCGTGAATATTAAGTTTTGATTTCAGGCTGAGGCTTGACATTGTGGGGCCACTGGGTGAGCCAGAGACCATGGCCATGTGAGGGGAGGAGGAGGGCATGAAGAATAAGGCTCTGGGAACGACAGGGAGAGAGGGAGTCAGAGGATGTCCCTTCCCCAGGGTGCAAGGCCTGGTGTGGCTGGAGAGAAGAGGGCTGAGCAGAGCAGTCGGCCAGGTGACCCTGTCTCCATCTCCCTCACCTCTCTCCCACATCTCTGCAGAAATACCCACAGCCCAAGGGGCAGAAGAAGAAGAAGATCGTCAAGTACGGCATGGGCGGCCTCATCATTCTCTTCCTTATTGCCATCATCTGGTTCCCACTGCTCTTCATGTCACTGGTGCGCTCGGTGGTCGGTGTGGTCAACCAGCCCATTGATGTCACTGTCACCCTTAAGCTGGGTGGCTATGAGGTAAGTGGAGTGCTCCCGGCCAGGGCAGCATAGTTAGAGACTGGGGCAGAAACTGGGGTGGTTGCCTGGCCCAGCCCGTATCTTCCACTAACACTGTGTGGGCCCCCGTCTGCTGGGGGTGGTGTGCTGGGGTAGCCCAGCTACATCACTGCTAGTCCTCTGTGCCCAGCCCCTATTCACCATGAGCGCCCAGCAACCGTCTATCGTGCCCTTCACGGCCCAGACCTACGAGGAGCTGTCCAAGGAGTTTGACCCTCACCCAGTGAGTACCTGCCCAGGGCTGTGATGGGTGGGAGGGGCCGGGCCAGCCAGCTGAGGTGTGTCCACCCTGCCCTCAGCTGGCCATGCAGTTCATCAGCCAATACAGCCCCGAAGACATTGTCACAGCCCAGATCGAGGGCAGCTCAGGGGCGCTGTGGCGCATCAGCCCCCCAAGCCGGGCCCAGATGAAGCGGGAGCTGTACCAAGGCACGTCGGACATCACCTTGCGCCTCACCTGGAACATCCAGAGGTGGGCAGGGTGGGGTGAGTCCTGTGGGGCTGGGTGGGATGGGCCTGCCTGTGAGGCTCACCGTTTCCCGGGCCCACAGGGACTTGGCCAAAGGTGGCACTGTGGAGTATACCAACGAGAAGCACACCCTGGACCTGGCTCCCAACTGTACAGCGCGGTGGCAGCTGGCCAGTCTGCTTGAGGGCACATTGGACCAGTCCGTGTGAGTGGGGGTTGACCTCTGGGAGGGCCAGGGCAGCTGCTGGGAGGGCCAGGGCGGCGGGAGGGCCAGGCCTGAGCCACCAGCTTCCTCCTGCAGGGTCATCCCCAACCTTTTCCCCAAGTATATCCGTGCCCCCAACGGGCCTGAAGCCAATCCCGTGAAACAGCTGCAGCCCAGTGAGTGCCGGGTCTCCCCAGGGGGCAGAGTGCAGGCAGGGTGGGCGGGAGGCCTGACCCACCATCCGCTCTGTGCAGATGAGGAGGACGACTACCTGGATGTGCGCATCCAGCTGCGGAGGGAGCGTGTGGGCACAGGAGCCGGTGGCTTCCTCGAATGGTGGGTGGTAGAGCTGCAGGACTGCCATGCTGACTGCAACCTGCTCCCCATGGTCATCTTCAGTGACAAGGTCAGCCCGCCCAGCCTTGGCTTCCTGGCGGGCTACGGGTAAGTGCGGGGGTGGGCGGCAGGGGTGGGCGGGGTGAGACACCGCAGCCTGGGACTCACCCCCCACCCCCCACCCCAGGATCATGGGCCTCTATCTGTCCATTGTGCTGGTCATTGGCAAGTTCGTGCGTGGCTTCTTCAGTGAGATCTCACACTCCATCATGTTCGAGGAGCTGCCCTGCGTGGACCGCATCCTCAAGCTCTGTCAGGACATCTTCCTGGTGCGCGAGACGCGTGAGCTCGAGCTGGAGGAGGAGCTGTATGCCAAGCTCATCTTTCTCTACCGCTCACCCGAGACCATGATCAAGTGGACCCGTGAGAAGGAGTAGGGCGCTACACGGCACACCGGAGAACGAAAGAGCCACCAAACCACACTGTGTGAACAGGCGCGCAGGTGGCGCTCCTGGCCCATAGGGGAGCAGATGCCCGAGCCCAAAGTGACCAGCTGCAACACCTCCTCCCCAGCCCGCCCGAGCCCTGATGCTGCTGCCAAAGAAGGGAGCGCCGTGTCCGCATGCCACCCATAGGCTGCGTCCTGACCATGGCCACAGCTTTCCCCCAGGACTGGCCACGCTGGGCCAGGGGTCCTGGCCTCCCTTCCCCAAGCGTACTGTAGAGTTTTCTAATTAAAAATGTCTTTATTTATACAAATGGACCATTACATACCAAGGCAACCTTGGTGGCTCTGGTCTCCTGCCCAGTGTGGACAGCCCCCACGTTGCAGTGCTCGCCCTACAGGGCACTGTGCTCAGGCACTTGGGGAAAGCTCTGGGCGAGTGGCATGGCTGGGCAGCGCTGTCCCAGGAGCAGTGACAGCCCAGAGGATGCGGTCAGGGGCTCAGCTCTGGCCCGTCTCCACCTCGTCCTCACTGTCTTCAATCAGAAACTCCTGGATCTCCTGCATGGCCTGGGCCCTGCAAGGATGCTGCAGTGGGACCCCTGCCCAGCTTGGGATGGGGCTAAGCCCAGAAGGGTCCCCCACCCAGGGCTGTCCTAGGTACCTGTGGTTGCGGAGCTGGGCCTCAGTTAGGATGTAGGGTGGGAGGGGGTCCAGGGAGGGCTGCAACAAAGGGGGCACGTGGCCAGGTCCAAAAGCCATAGAGGTCACACTCCAGAGCCAGGTTGGGGCCAGGGCCACCAGAAGCCCTCCCGCCTTCCTCAACCCAAAGAACCCCACCTCTGGGCTGAGGGTGGGGAAGGGGCCATGTGTTACAAGTGGGAGGTCCACTCACCAAGTCCTTCATGTTCACACGACAGCTGTAGCACAGCTGCTCTATGACACAGGCTTGGAGATCCTCCCTGGGGAAGCAAGTTGGGCCTGTCCCCCTGGTCTTGGCCCTCAGTAGTGCAGGCAGAGTTGGGGGTGCCCCCATCTCATGCAGCTACAGGAGCCAGCCATGGAATGGGCAGGGACTCACCTCTCACTGGGCCTGGCCCCCCTGCAGCAGCCCCGGTCCTCGCAAAGCCCTGGTGAGCAGCAGGGCACTGTGGGCTCCTTGGCCTGGGTCTGCAGGGCGGGGGCCTGCCTCAGTGAGAGGGCTGTGGTGGACTGGGCCCCAAAAGCCGTGGCACTATCTGTAAGCAGAGACTGGGCTGGGGGGGCATGGAAGGGAGTGGGCAGGAAGGGCCTGGGGACTCCAGGGGCTGCTGGACCAACACCCAAGCCCACCTGCCTCCCAACCCCAGGTACACAGTTCCCCAGAGACCAGGACGTGACCTGAGTCTGCCCCCACCCCCAACCAGGGCATGACCAGAGCCCCCCAACGCCCCCCCACACCGACCAGGGTGCAGACCAGCGCTGTCAACGTCCAGCATGCACAGGCAGAGGAGGCAGCAGGGGCGGGAAGGGCTGGCGGCCCGGCCAGCTCGGGGTGCCTTGACCAGCTTCTCGCTTGTCCTGCGGCCATGCAGGGACAGGGCACCAGTGACCATCAGTAGGGGATAGCCCCAAGCAGGTGCTTCTCCCCCCACCGCCCAAACACATACTCCCCTGCCCCGCACCTATACACAGTGCTGACGGTGGAGGGGAACTGGGCCTGCAGCTGGAGAACGAAGGCCTCCATCAGCCGGTGGATGCTGGCCTTCTCGGGGGCCTGAGGGAAAGTCAGGTGGGGGGGCTATGAGGGCGCCTCCAGTGTGCAGGGTAGACCCCAGTACAGAGGGCAGCACCGAGGCTGGGGCTACCTGGAGTGGAGTCACATGGGTTGCCCAAGAGGGGGTGCTGCCTGCACTACCTGGGGGTCACCTTTATTGGGGCTGAAGAGAGCAGCCAGCTGACCTGTTTCTCAAGTGTCCCCGAGAGAGGTCACCCTGCTGCCCCACCCTACCCTCTCAAGTCTGTGCCCCTCCTCCACTGGGCCAGGCCAGGACCCAGTGTGCTCACCCACCTTGGTGTCGATAGCTGGCGTGAGCACAGTGGGGATGGCAAACAGGTGGTTGTAGAAGGCGACCTCCTTCAGCATGTGTTCCCGCATGGGTCGCACCACCACCACGTCCCCATGCCGCTCATCCGCGAAGCCCTGGGGGAACGGGGGGTTCTTACCATGCTTGGCCAGCCCACAGCTGGACCCCCTCACTACCCACTTCCCTGCCAGCTGGGGGGGCCAGGGCCAGGCTCACACCAAGTGAAGGAAGCAAGGGAAAGGGAAGACCCCGGGAGCCCGCCTGACCCTGCGCACCGTGTCCCAGGCAAGGAAGGCCCCTCGCCCCAGCGCCAGGTTGGTCAGGAGCTTGATGGCCAGACGGGTGCAGCTGTCCCCTGTCATCACTTTGGAGTAGCCATGTGTGCGAGCCACATGCAGGATCAGATGGGTCCTGTGGGCCAGAGCATCTGGGGGCCTGAGTGGAGGCGGGGTGGGACCCCAGGGGCCTGGGCAGGGTGAGACCCCAGGGTGGAGGGGGTCTGGGCAGGGTGAGACCCCAGGGTGGAGGGGGTCTGGGCAGGGTGAAAACCCAGGGTGGAGGGGGTCTGGGCAAGGTGAGACCCTAGGGTGGAAGAGGCCTGGGCAGGGCGGGACACCAGTTAAGAGGGGTCTGGGGGCCTAGGTGAGCAGAGTGAGACCTCAGGGTGGAGGCATCTGGGCAGGTAGGGTCTGGGCAGAGGGCCAGGCTCACCGGAGGGTCTGCAGAAGCTCCTCCTTGGCGGTCAGTGTCCTCACTGAGTTGAACAGTCTGGACAGAGCCTCAGTCTCGGCAGCCGTGTGTGGCCTTGCTGGGCTCTGCGGGTTGTGGGGGCTGGGCCAGCTCAGCTGCTCCAACCCCGGGGACAGACTGGGGCTATCCCTGGCCCCCTCAGTCCCCAGCCCTTGCTGCTGCTGGATGAAGCCGTCCACGGCCTCTTTGTAGGCCCCATCGCCCATGGCTGGCTCCTGGGAGAAGTGCCGCAGCACAGACTGGGGCAGGCCGAACACCTTCCAGGCCAGAAAGGTGCATCAGGTGGGCAAGCGGGGAGGCCAGTGGTCAAGGGGAAACTGAGGCCACACACATGCCCCAGGACCACCCCCTCCTGTCTCCCATGTGGACGCATGCCCACCTCTTCCAAGGCAACGCCATGCCACGGTAGGCCGGTGGAGCGCAGGATTGACTGCACCTCAGCCAGGGTCTCTGCTCTGTCCTCCGGGTTCCGGCCACAGGCTGCTCCTTCTGCAAGCCAGGCAGAGAGGAGTCACGGCCACAGACGAGCCCAGGGAGGGGTGTCCATCTTGTCCTAGGACCAGAGCGTGTGGGCCCCAGGGCCCACTCAGAGGCCCCAAGCTGACCCAGAGGGTCCCGTGTGGCCAGCTCCATGTGGCAGCACTCCACAGGGCACAAGTTTTGTGAAAACCACGGATGTGAGCCCATTTCCCTTTGGGGAATGTTTTCAGAGTTGGCAGCAGGTTTTTATTGTGGCTCAGGGAGAGAAGTCAGATGCCCCTGCCCCAAACCATGTCCAATAATGACCGAGACTTAGGCAACAGCAGTGCTGTCTGTCCCTGTCAGCAATGCCCCCACCCCCTACCCTGGGCCCTGTGCCAGGCCAGTGCCTACAGTACTTAACCTGTCCACCGGGGTGGTGGGGGGGAGTCCACTGGCCAGAGTGGCCAAACCTGGAAAGCCTGAGCCACACACACCTACCATCAACATAGACAACCCCAGGCACAAAACGCAGCTGCTTGGCTGACTCTCGACTCAGGCCCTGCAGGGAGGAGAGACGAGGGGCTCAGCTGGGCTGGAATCGATGGCTAATCATCCCACGTCTGCAGCACAGAGCCATAGGACACACCCCCACCACCAGATGCTAGGTTCCGCCTGGACCTCAGGCTGTCTTGAGAAGAACAGTTTAATCAGATCAAGGTGATGCTCCTGGGGCCTAGGCCCTCGCTGCACCCTCATCTCAGATTGCTGCCCGCGCCACCCCTCCAGCCTTCACGTCACCTGGCAAAGCCCCTCCTCCTGCTGGAGCCCCATAAAACCCAGTTCTCATGGAAGACCCCAGCCAGAGCTAGCCCCTGGGTTGCCGAAAGGCGCCTACGCTCATCTACCTGTCTCATCTGACACACCACACTGGTCCCTGGGACCTGGAGCCCCTAGAGCACACAGTGGCCTAAGGGACACCCTGAATCACACTCTGCCTGGGTCACATGCCTATACTCTACACAGGGGAGTGGGTAGATGGGACTGCACTGGGCAGGGTGACATCCCAGAAGTGGCTTCCGGCTGTGCACCTCCTTACACAACCTGCAACCCTCCAGGCAGCCCGTCCAGCACTGACCAAGGACACTGCAGTGCCAGCCAAGAAGGGCTGCCCCTCCACCCCAGAACTCAACCCCACAGCAATCCTGGCCTGGGAGGGAAGGAAGGGTGGGTATGGACACACCTCTAGGACTTGCCAGAGCATGGAGCTGGACGACGGCCCACCTGACCACGCGAGGAGGACCTGGGGAGAGAAGGCACCCTGAGAGGCACACACACATCCAACAGGAATGTGTCCAACCCCGAAGACCCCAGGAACATGGTGTCTCCCCCTTGAAGCCACAGGGGTATGTGGCTGGCATGGACTGGCTGCCTGAGGAGCCAGGGCCCCTCGGGGGTGGTGCTGGCTCTGGGACCCAGTGCCCACACCCAGGCAAAGGCGGTGGACCCCAGGCCCCACACTCACCTTCTCACCTGGAAAGATGAGCCGGTTCTTCCCGAGCACGGCTCTGAACTTGTGGACATAGTATGCCTTGAAGCAGTCCCTGCAACACAGACCCCACCAGCTGTGGCCAAAATGCCGGGCAGGCCGTGGCCCACAGCCAGTCCCTCCAAACCGCCCGGCCCCCCCGCCCCCTGGCATCAGGACCAGAAAGTCTGTTCACACCTGGCCAGCAAGGTGGACACTTGAGGCTACGTTTGGTTACTCCTTCCTTAACAAGTTCTATCTTTAAGAAGCAGGGTGAGAACATTTGCTGAAGATCAGAAGCCTGAATCTGCAGCAAAGGCAGCATCATAGACCAGCAAGGGGGGAGGGGTTCTCGCCAACTGTGGATGAGCCTCATCTTCCACAGCACTGGGGCCCTTGGCTGTACCTGGCACAAACATTCACTGTGCAAAAAAAGTCCACAAAGCCACCAGGCAGTAAAGGCCAAAATGGGAAGGAGAGCCCTGGCCCTGTCCTTGGGAACTATGGATCAAGTGGAAACAAATATTCAAACAGTTACACACAAGGGAGATGGAACAGTACCACATTAGAGATAAAACAGAGAGCCTTCACACCCAGGTTTCTGGGAATAGGCCTCTGCTCCTTCACTGTGGCCACCGCCCTCCCCCGACCTGGGGAAGCCTGGAGCTCTCCTCCCACCCACCTCCTTCACAGCTAAAACAGGCATCAGTGAGGTAAGTGATATTCACCCAGAGGATGTGTTCCTCAGTGTGGCCCAGATGCCCCCAAATGTCCATCCCTTCTACACCCTACACCAATCTAGACATCCCTGCCCCACTTTCAACTCTCCCCCTAAGCTCCATCTGATACCTCCCTGTCACTGGGTCCAGGGCTAGATCGTAGGAGAACGTTACCCAAGCAGGAAACCAACACTTCCCACCTCTGCTATGACACCAGGGTCAGCAGGAGTGGCATTAGAAGCTCAAGTAACCGAAGGCTTTTAAAAAGAAGAAACAAAGTTTAAAAACTGTAGGCGGTCCTGACTGCTGTGGGAGACTGCTCTCCAGGGCCGCCTCCGTATCTCCAGGTCCTCACCTGCAGAAGGCATCTCCCGCCCGGATCACCAAGACAGGCGCACCTTTCTTGCACTTCACACACCACTTCATACACTTCTGCTGCTCATGACTTTGAAGATGGGGAGTAGGGGAAGGAGAACAGCACACAGATTAAGCTGGTGGGCTTCCAGGAGACAGGGTCCAGTTTCTCACCCCCAGCTAGGTGAGAGGAATGCACCACATGTGGGAGTGGTCACGGGGGGTAGGTGGGTTGCTGTACAGACAAACAGGGTTTGTTCCAGCCACCAATTTAAGGATAAGACCAAACGATGTGGGGAGCTGTTTGGCCTGGAGAAGTAGGCTTTGGGACACATAAAGGCCACGTCTCAATCTCTCAGGGCTGGCATGGAGACAAAAGACGTAACTTGTTCTATGTGGCACTGGAGAGTAGGACTAGAAACAGTGGGTAAAAGCGACAGAAAGGCCGGGTTCTTCCCCGAGTAAGACGGCTTGTGACCGGCAGAGCTGTCCCCAGTGGCTGCAAGAGTTAGGGGCGGGAGTGAGTGTAGTGAGCTTTAACAGCCATTCCTGGTGCTGCGGAGCGAGTTCCAGTCTCCACCGGGCGCTGGGCCCGAGAACCGTTAGGGTCCCTCCCGCTTCCCAACCCCGCGGGGACCCAGAAGTGACGGCGAAGGCTGGGCCGAGGTGGGCTCCTCCGGGCAAGGCTCGCCGCCAGCGGGAGCGCCGGTATGCGGCGGGCAGGGGAGAGGCGGCCCAGAGCGTCCGACCGCCCAGCTCTTACCCAGGCCGCGGCGGCGGCGGCGGGTCCTTGGGCACCGGCTCCCGGTAATCCTCGCCCACCTGGCACATGTCTGCCCTGCGGGCGGCGGAAGCAGTACCGGTGACTGGCGCCCTGTGATGACGTCACACCAGCGCCGTCGCGGCCGTGACGGCCGCCCGGCTGGTGTCGGCGGGCGCGTGCCGATGACGTCAGCGCTGCGCCGCCGCGGCCGTGACGCTCAGGTCGGACCCGGCCGGGCCAGACCGGGACAGGGGGCGGGCGGCGGCAGCGGGCCTGGCCCCCGGGATGGCGATGTTCCGCAGCCTAGTGGCCTCGGCTCAGCAGCGGCAGCCGCCAGCCGGGCCCACGGGTGGCGACAGCGGCCTGGAGGCGCAGTACAGCTGCCCCATCTGTCTGGAGGTCTACCACCGGCCGGTGGCCATCGGCAGCTGCGGCCACACGTGAGTGCGCTCAGTCTCTGGGAGGTGCGGGTCCGCGCCCGCCCGGCCTGGTGGAGGCCGTCGCGCGGAGCACTTGGGGCGCGGGGCGCGCGGGGTACTTAGAACGCGTCGGGGCTCGGGGTTCCCCTGCGCAGCGCCACACCTGCCCTCCGGCACGTTCATCTTCCACCCGGCCTCCTGCCCTTCAGCCCCAGGCGCTCGGCCCGACCGCCGCCTGGCCACACGGGGAAGAGCTGCAGTCCTGCCCGGACTTGGTGGTGGTGGGGGGCGTGGAGGGGACCGCCCGGATACCAGAAGGCTGTACCGCGCTTGTCGTCTTCCGCTCGGTCTACCCTGTGGAGACTGCGGTGGCCGTTGTAAATAAATGACTTGTGGCCTTTACTGTTAACTCGTTTTTAGGTCCACTGCCTGCTCTTCTTGACTACCACAGAGTGGAATTCCTTAAAGTTAGGAGAGGGGTTGTTTGGAGTCTCGTGCTGGTTTGTTTTGTTTTGTTTCAAAGGAGAACTTGGGTCACACTGAGCAGCCAGACAGGCTGGCCCGCAGGGAACCAGACATCAAGCACCTTACCGCGGTTTTCAGCTGTGCCAGGGGTGTTTCAGGAATAGGACTTGAGAATATGACTTTGCTCCCAGCCAGGAGTTGTGCTCCACTCAGAGCTGAGATAAGATTCTCTGCTCCAAGGCCTCTCCCAATGGCTGAATAGTACAGTTCTTGAGAGAAAGAGGAGCCTTGGTGGTGCGGTGGTTAAGAGCTTGGCTGCTAACCAAAACGTCAGCAGTTCGAATCCACCAGCTGCTCCTTGGAAACCTTATGGGCCAGTTCTACTCTGTTGTATAGAGTCACTATGAGTTGGAATGGACTCCACCGCAACAGGTTGAGAAAAGAAGCAGAGTTGGGAAGGGAGACAGCTTGAGGGCTCCGGCTGCAGTCAGCCTGCTGAGAAGGTGGGGCTTTTGCTCCAAGGGGGCAGGGTTGGCCAGGTGCTCCCAGGCTGATAGGAGGCCCTAGAACATTGCAGACAAAGGCAGCTGACTTCAGAGGCTGCTGATACAAAAAGGGAGCTGGAGCTGCTGCTGGCAGTGGGTGTGTGCCTGCGAGTCACAGTGTTAGGATCAAGAACCAGCCTGCACGTCACTTTCCTCATTGTCAGGCTGCACAGGCGCCTGCTCACACCTTGAGAACAAGCATGCCAACTTAGCTTGTGAGGGGGCTGCTTCCCATCTTTCAGGCTATTTGTCACGAGGTAGCAGGGGTCACTTTGGAGCAGAACTTGGCTCTCGTGAACTTGTACTAGTGGGTATTTGAAGGCGTGCTCTCCGCTATTGAGAGCTCCGTCGGGCTGGTCCCGGTCTTAGTTTTGGAAAGCCTTTACTCTGTTGGTTTCAGGTGGTGTGACTGAGTTAAAGGAGCCCCCCTTGGCACCAACACCTTCACCCTGACCTCAGCCTTGAGTATACAATGTCCTGTGTGCACAAATCAGTATTGTCTTTTCCTCATTCTCAAATAAGTCTTCCTTGAAGATGCGGTTTTAGTAGCACAGGATACAGAACTACATGCTAAGTCTCTGTTCCTGTTGACTGCCATTGGTACTTTTCCAGGCAGAAGTTGACAGCGCTCCTCCTAGTCTTGGTGCTGGCCCCACTGGAGCCTATTTTGCAGCCTAGCCTGGACGAGACCCCCCCATCCCACCCCTTCCTGCTGGCTTTGTTTCCCTGGCTGTTATCTCAGCCTCCTATTTTCTCTAAGCTGTGTTCTTTGTTGCTGAGGCACATACACAGACAGGCACAGAAAGTTTAAGGGCTCACACGTTTCCTTCAGAATGTGTTCTCATGATCCAGCTGTTTCCCCTTTGAGAATTGCCTGACTTAAGCAATTTCCTTCCACAAAGTTGATATTGTAGTGTCAGTAGCCCTGAGTGGGGGCAAGCGCTCCTGGCTCCAGTGCCAGACAGAAGAAGGTGCCCTGGGGGGAGCTCCCAAGTCTGAGCTTGTGGGCAGGAGGCTGCACTCTGTGGAGGCGCTCCAGGAATTCCCTGGGCCCTGGACCCTGTCACCCACGGGCAGACACCCAGGCAGTTATCCAGAAGGGAACCCTCTGATGGACCCTCCCCAAGATGCCAGCCTGGAGATCTCAGGCTGCTAACAAGCCAGCATGTGCGGAGGGATGGCCAGGGCTGGGGCACTCAGGCCCGTCCTCCCTCAGGTTCTGTGGGGAATGCCTCCAGCCATGCCTCCAGGTGCCATCCCCTCTCTGCCCACTCTGCCGCCTGCCCTTTGACCCCAAGAAGGTGGACAAGGCCACCCACGTGGAGAAGCAGCTCTCGTCCTACAAGGCACCCTGCCGCGGCTGCAACAAGAAGGTACCCATCCCCGCCCCCGCACCTGGGCCTTCCTGGGGGCTGAGTCGGTCTGCACCCCAGAATAGGACAGGGTACAGGGCTGCTTTCCTTCCTGTTGAGCAGCTGTCAGTCTGTGCTTCTGCATGGGCTCCCTGTGCAGTGCACACTTCCTGCCGTGGTCACAGGAGGAGAGTAGGGCCTGCTGGGTGCAGCCCTGCCTGTGTCTGCCCGGTTCCTGGAGAGTCCTGCCATGTCATGTCCTGGTCCCTACAGTCGCTCCCCCCCTGCCATGTGGCATATGAGTGTGGAGCTACCACATCCATCACACACGTGCCGGGTCCTACACGTCACGGCAGGGCTTGGCAGCTCCTGTCATTGACCTTGGCCTCCTTTTCCAGTTTCCTCCGGAGCCTGCCCTGTGCCCCTCATGGCCGTGGTCACTCCAGCTGGTACCTCTGTCTCAGCGACCATGAGCAGAGGAAGCAGCTCTGTTCACTTTGCTTTTCCACATCCGGCTTTGCCACCTCTCTAGTTAGTGCTCCACCAGTTGATCACATGTGAAGCTGCCCCATTCTTTGTTCTGAAGGCCCTGCCAGCAGCTGGGAGGCAAGCAGATGGTGTCCCCTCTTTCTGCACCGCAGCCTCAGCCCACTAGACATTCCTGGAGGGACAGAAAGAGCAGAGCCTCCAGGGTCACTTACAGAGCTGCCCCGCCTGGTAGCAGCACCTCACATCTGCAGTCTGGGTCTTCCCTAGCACGTGCTGTCCTCATGCTTACGCCAGGCAGGCACTGCAGCATCCGCCATTGGGAGAGCCGGGGATGGTGGCACCTAGAGCTCCTTGAGCAGCTGCTGTCCAGGGTTGGGGGAGGGCTTTGCCAGCCGCTGCCTGTGCATACATGGTGTCACTCTCCTGCTGCCTTGCTCCCCCACTAGGGTTGTGAAAAACCTTTCCACAGCTCACCCCAGCCCCTTGGCATGTGTTGGACTTAGAGCTGCATGGCATCCACTCCCCTGGGAGGCCTGGCCAGGGCCTTCTCCTCCCACTCCTTCATGAAAACGACATGGAGATGCGCCTCAGCACCACCTGCAGGCCGGTTTCTGCTCTTGAGTGGACACCCCACGGGGGCTTGGGCTGCAGGCTGTGCTGTGTTCTCACACTTCTGCCATGCCGTCAGAAGACTCCTGACTGTCTAAGGGGAGCTTGTCCCCTAGTCCTATCAGGAGAGGTACCCCTCACTGGAACGCCCCTCAAAAGTCCTCCCATGTGAGCTTGCTGGAGGAGTCCCAGGCAGCAGTGGGGCAGCTGTGACCCAGAGAGGCCGGGCAGTGACAGCTGCTCAGTCCAGGACACAGCCTCCTTCCCCCTTGTCCCCTCCTGCCCTGCGTCTCCACTGATGGATGCTGCGTCCCAGCGAGTGGAAAGCAGAGGGGACTGGGCTCCATCTTGCAGGCTGCTCCTCCTCTGGATACCACCCCCTACCCCGGCTGACTGAACCCTAGGCCAGCCGCCTTCCCACCCCCTCCTGCGCCCTAGGTGGCCCTGGCAAAGATGCGAGTGCACGTCTCGTCCTGTGTGAAGGTCCAGGAGCAGATGGCCAACTGCCCCAAGTTTGTCCCTGTGGTGCCCACATCCCAGCCCATCCCCAGGTAGGCAGCCCCAAGCCCTGGAGCAAACACTGGGGCCCTGGCTGGCCTGGTTTCCACCTCATCTGTGGGAGCATGTGTCTGAGTCCCGGAGCTGACCAGACACCAGGATACCCGCTCTGTCACTGGGATGCTGCCCAGGGGAGCACGGCTCCTCTCCCGAGGGGCAGGACGGGGCTGAGGCAGGCTGCATCTCAGTGGCCCTTAGGTGGAAAGGGTCCCTGAGCAGGTGCAAGCCAGTGTCGGCCACAGGCTGGTGGTGACAGCTCCACCCAGTGACGTTGTCTGGGCAGGGGCAGGGGTCTGGGCTCCCCGGCAGGAGCCACCTCACTCCAGAGCCCCAGTACAGAATGAGGGGGGTTTCCGGTCTTCAGACTCCAGGCTCTGTTCTGCTGCAGTGATGCACGCGGCCACTAGGTGGCAGCCACGTGCCTGGAGTCTGGGAAGGCAGGGGAGCATTCTTCGGGCCCTGGTGTTTGGAGTAAGGGGGTGCCCAGAGGACACCACTGCTGCAGGGGTGCGCACGGTTCCAGGGCCGGCAGCCGTGGCTCACTCCCCTCCCACCCTGCCCCCAGCAACATTCCCAACAGGTCCACCTTCACCTGCCCGTACTGCGGTGCCCGCAACCTAGACCAGCAGGAACTGGTGAAGCACTGTGTGGAGAACCACCGCAGCGACCCCAACCGCGTGGTGAGCCCCTGTGCCACCCCGTCAGTTACCTATCAGGCCACAAATTTCCTCCTTGCTCCATGCGGGGTCTTTGCTGAGCAGAGCCTCCCTCCCTGCCCAAAGGCCCCACATACATGAGGGTACTCTGAGAGTGGACATGGGGTGGGGGGCTGCTGTAAGGCCAGGCCATGCTCTCCAGACACTGCATTGCAAGGCCTGCCTGCCCACTCCCCCATGCCCCCTCCTGTGCCCCTTCACGCCGAGGTCCTTTGTCCAGGTCTGCCCCATCTGCTCAGCGATGCCCTGGGGGGACCCCAGCTATAAGAGCGCCAACTTCCTGCAGCATCTCCTCCACCGGCACAAGTTCTCCTATGACACCTTTGTGGTGGGTATCCCCTTGTCCCTACTAGAGCAAGCAGCCAACAGACTCAGCCCTGACTCCTCCTTCCCAGCCCTACCCTCCCCCTCATACCCCTCCCCCTCATACCCTCTTCCTCTCACACCTCCTTTCCCTTGTGCCCCTTCCCCCTTGTGCCCCCACTCTCCCCCTCATAGCTCCTCCCCACTTGTACCCTGTTCCCCCTCGAAGCCCTCTCTTGTGCTCTGAACCAGCCTTAGAGTCCCAAGCATTCCAAGAAAACTGGAAGCACACAGTACTAGTGGAATAGCCTGCGGGTCGGGCTTTGAGGGGTGCTAAGTCCAAGTGGGGAGCCCTGGTGATGCAGTGGTTAAGCGCTCAGCTGCTAACTAAAAGGTCAGCAGTTCGAATCCATTAGCCACTCCTTGGAAACGGGGCAGTTCTGCTCTGTCCTTTAGGGTTGCTATGAGTCGGAATCAACTCAATGGAAAAAGTTTGTTTTTTTTTTTTCTTTTTAAAAAAAAAGGCCAAGTGGCCACCAGAGGGAGCCTGGGCAACCGAGACCAGCACAGGTGTCCGTGGGACTTGGAGCCCAAGGCAGCTTTCCCAGTCAGCAGCGGCCTGGGGGTATCCCATTTAGCCCTGCCTGGGGGCCTTGTCACAACCCCTTTGCTCTGCAGCTCCTCCCCCTTGGGAAGATAGAACAATGGAGTGTCCACGGGCCCTTCTGGGGAGAGGTGGCCACAGGGCCCCCAAGGAGGCACCCCTGCTCCACACAGGAGAGAGCACAGGGCTTCTGAGGGTGAAGAGAGTTAGAGGGACTGTGACACCTTCATCTCACTCTCCTACCTTTGAGGGGCTAGTGTAGGACTAGCCCCAGGCCTGCATGCACCCCGTTCACCCCTCGGGCCTCATGGTTACGCCCCCTTCCCACCCAATGTTAACCCCAAGGTGGAAGACTGGATGTGGTAGAGCTGATCTGTCTGGGGGTGACTGAACAGAGGGCTGACACCTCTTGTCTTCCAGGACTACAGCATCGATGAGGAAGCTGCCTTCCAGGCTGCCCTGGCCCTGTCTCTGTCTGAGAACTGAACGCCCGGTCCCTCCCCACCACGAGGTCAGCCACTCACCCTGCGCCTGAGGTCTGGCTCCTTCCCCAGCTCCCGAGTGGGCGTGCAGCTGTGGGCCAGGTGGAAACTCCATAAGGCATGAGGAGGCCAGCTGGCCAAGCTGCGGGGGCAGGAGAGTAGCCACCCCTCACCTCTCTGCAGCATAGCTTGGGTCTGAGGGGCTTTGCAACTGAGCTGGTGCCCTCACAGTGTGGCCAGGCGGGGGGCCTGTGACCCTGGAACAGGTGGCGTCATTCAAAGCCATGAGGACTCTGCACCCAAGGCCCTGCTGCTAAGTGGAGAGCGGGTCAGGGTAGACCCACTGAAGACCCCCACCACACCGCTGCTGTCCTGGCTCCACCCCACCTTCACCTGCTCATTTGGTACTGGCTTTTGTGATACCTAGAAATTCTGGCATTTTTCTATATTATCCAGTATGATAATCTTTTCACATTTTATAGAGCAAAGAAAATGCAGTTACTCTTCATACTGCAATATCCGTGTTTGACTAGGAATAATAGTATTTTTATGGAACATTTACAAGATTATATTTTTTAAAAAAAAAATAATGAAAAATAAGCATTGTGTGGAATCGGGGGAGAGAGGAGACCAGGCAGGAGTGAAAGCCAGTGGGGCCAGGGGCTCCACTCTTGCACGTGTGATGTGGCAGTGGCAGCTCGGTCCCCAGATGACTCTATGGTTCAGGTTCTGTAGGCTGTCAGTTTCTCTCTCAGTAGTGGCCAGGAAGAAACCTCCGGCCCCAGCCCACTCACTGGTGGCCACTGGGTCTGCAGATAAGGCAGGGTTTTCCAGAGACACAGGATGGCCTGGCCCAGGGTCCTGGCTTGGCAGAGTGTCCACGGAGTGTTCCTGTCCCCATCCGGGACCAGAGGGGCAGATTGCAGGGGGCTGGGGCCAGAAAACATGTTTCATGGCATAAGTTATTGCTGTCTTTTAAAACAACTTAAATAAAATGTTTCAGAGCATCTATAGCCAAACTTGATCAGTGGTTTTATTCTACAAATATTAAAATCAAGAGCTCATTTGGGGTCACCAGATTGAGAGGTGGGGGGGGCAGTCCCTTCTGCCTTCAGACACCCCCTGACAGGGCACCCTGCCTGTTGCTTCCCTTTGTGGCCAGCACCTGCCCACCATGTTGGGCAGGGTACAGGCCAGGGTCACAGGCATAAGTCCAGTATATTCAGTCGAGGCCCACGGGCCGGTGCCCTTCTGGACATGGGGACGCGGTCTGCCCTGTGCCACTCCAGCTGACCTGGACGCACCCAAGTGCAAGTCATGGGTCCCACTGTACCCCACACCACCCTGGGGCCTCAGAGTACCCCAAGAGCCAGGGGCCTTGCTTCTCTGAAATCAGCTGGGGGCCGTCACCCCACCCGGAAAGGGCCATTCTACCCAGGCCGCTTGTCCCCAGAGATCTACACCCCACCCCCACCCCCACTTGGAGGACTAGTTCCCGCCTTCGCTCCGCCCCGTGTGGACTGGATTCCTAGATTATAAAATAGAAGTGCTGGGCTCAGTGCGTTCCGGCTCTGAAGTCCGCGCTTCAATCTGCAGGGCGTGGGTGCGCCAAGCCGAAGGGTCGGTGTGGGATTCCACGCCGCGCGGCGCCGAGGAGACTCGTGGGGAGGGCACCGGCGGCCACGTGGCCCTGCGCCCCTCCCCCGCGACCACGCACCTGTCCAGGGCGTGGTCCTGCGGCCCTGCCCACGTCGGCGCCGGCCCCGCCCACGCTCGCGCCGGGCCCTGGTTGGCAGAGGCGCTTTGCCATACTAACAAGCATGGCCCTTCCTGCCCCTGCCCGCGCCGGACCCGCCCATTCCCCGCCCATGTCCTCGGCCCCGCCACTCCCGCGCCGGGCTCTGGTTGGCGGAAACGGCGCTCTATGCTAATATATACCCTGCCCACTTCTGTCTCTGCCCCCGGCCCTGCTCCCGGCCTCGCACCGCCGGTGCCGGGCCCTGGTTGGCAGAGCTGGTACGCTATGCTAATGAGCCTGACCCTGTTCGCATCTGACTCCGCGCGGGCCTGGCCCGCTGGCGTAAGGACTGACGGACCGATCAGTGAGGACCGCGTCCTGGTCCCGCAGCCCATAAGGAGAAGATGCCGCGCTCTTTCCTGGTGAAAACGCACTCTAGCCACAGGATACCCAACTACGGGCAGCTGGAGACGCAGAGAGGTAAGGGTAGGGCCTGGGAGCGGGGGACACCTGTCTCTAGTCCCAGGTGGGAGGAGAGGACAGGGCCTCACCAGTGCAGCAGAGCCAAGGGGTCCTCCTGGGCGGAGACCGAGGGTCTGGCTGTAGGTAAGGTGGCCCCCAAGGCACCAGCTCACCTCATCGGACGCAGCCCGCCTTGGCATAGGGAGGGGCCCTCTTTTCCCCACTTACAAGAGTGTTTCTAGGCTCCCAAATCTTGGGGCCTTCTCCCTGCGGACAGGCACACCTGTCCCGACCACTGCAGTCCAGCTAAAGGGACCCCAGAGTCCTCTTCCTAGTGTGCCAGGTTTGGGAGGGGTCCTGGGGATGATGGAGAGGAAGACAGAAGACCACCTGGGACCTGGCTCCTGGAGGGCTCCCCCAGAGTTCCTGGCTTGAGTTGGTGGGCAGAGGAGGTGGGAAGAGGGGCCCATGGGTTCCCTCAGTCGCAGAGGCTTATCTGTTCCCCCCCATTCAACTGGGAAGGGACCCCCAGTGCCTCCTCACTCCTCTCGGTCTTTTCCTCCTCTCCTGGGGAAGCCCTCTCTCTCACTGGTAGTTGCTTGTGCAGGGCAGGGTCTGAGATCTAGGCCATTGAGACCCCTGCCCACCGGGGTCTCAGACGAAGTAAACGTGACTGTCTACTCAACCCCCTCCCTGCTGGACAGGGACACAAGAGGCCTGTGACAACCAGGAAGACGGACTCTATTCCCTCAGAGCTGAGGCACAGAGGGATCAGAGTGGGCCCTACCTAGCTCAGCAACTTCTTGGGACCAGGACCCACTTGGGGACCACAGGTGGACCTGAGAGGGAGCAGAGGAAGGAAGGACACCAACCAGCACTCCCAGGAGGCCCTTATCATCCTATGAGCCTAGAGCGGAGGAGGCCCACTCCCAGGTCAGGAACACAGCCAAGGCTGCCACCAGGGGGCGACTTCTAGGGCTGTGCCCTTCAAATGAATTCTATATAACCAGTTTCAACCAGCAATTTTGTAGAATAAAATAGAATAGAAGCTATCAGTGCCTCGCACATGGTCAAAAGTGTGTCTGTGTATACGCGTGTAATACAAACGTGAAGTTCTATGGGTCATAGTTTAAAAACTATTGCTTAGGGTCTGGTCCACAGTGCACCCTACCTTGCCATGTCAGGTGCAGACCCGTGCTGCGTGTCAGGTCGAGCATGCATCTGAAGGGGGAAGCTCTGCTCTTTGCACCCAAGCGTTTAATGCCCTTTCTCGTGCCCTCTGCTCCCGTCCTCGCTGTGGCTCCAGCTGCCTGGCTTTGTGAAGGCCAGGTAGCCATGGTGGTCCTCTTGCTAGGATACTCCCACAGAATAGACCTCAGATGCTAGGGCTTGGGGTCCTCCACTCTGTCCTTTAAGTAAGGGCCTCTTTAGGGCTGCCCAGGCAGCCCCTTGAAGCCAGAGTATCCAGAAAAGTCTCTTACCCAGAAATCTGAGCTTCAGAATGAATTCAAAAGCAAGCAAAATTGAGCGAATATGGGAGAAAGCCGTTAAAAAGTAGTAGCCTCAGCATGGGTCCGAAGCCCCCTCCTGTGGCCGTCTCCCCATCCTGCCCTCTGGAGCCAGTCCCTGGCCCTGCAGACTTGGTTGGGCTGGGGATGCATGGGGCCGGGGTGGGGGCACTCCTCAGAGATAGGCAGCAACTTCCTTCTAGCCACTGAAGTTTGAGAGATGGACGCCTTTCCCCTGTAGAAAGGCCCCTGAGGAAGGGTCTGGAATGGGGAGCTCCTAGGTGCCCCTGCGCCTGTCTCAGAGCCCTAGGACTTTGTCTCAGCCTGTCATTACCATCACCACCACCCCCTTCTGGGAGGATGGAACTCATGTGCTGACTTTTATAACTGGGAGGATGAGGGTGAGAGAGATTAAGGGCAGAGGATGGTGGAGGGTGATGCACCTTCCTTCACCTTTCTGAGATGAAGGTGGTGGCTGGGCAGATGGGCACTCTACCTCCCACGCAGCTGCACCACCTTGGCACCCTTCTTCCCCAGCCCCAGCCTGTCTGTGCTGGCTCTGGAGGCCTGGTGTTGGGTGCTGCCCTCCTGCCTGGACTGGGGGGAGCCAGAGGGGAGCCCACCCAGGAAGACAATTTGCTGGAGTACAAGGTTTCTTTGCACTAGTTGGGCTAGGGTGAAAGGTCCATGGGCTTTGACTAAGGACACTGGGTTGGTGAGAAGGGAACCCAGAGGAGGAAAGGGGAACAGGAAGGAAAACACAGAAGGGGAAGAACCAGCAAAGAGGAAGTAATAAGAGACAGAGAAAGGGAAGAAAATCATCATGTGAGAGATAAGGAGAGAAGAGAGCAGGGGAGGGGAAGGGAGGGAAGAAGCAGGGCAAATTCAGACTTGCCCTTGGTCAACAGTTTTAATCTGGTGCCTAGGCTGTAGCTGCCTAACAGGTGAAACCAAGCCTCCTGGACTCCCCTGGGAGGCCAAGGGTGGCAAAGCTGCTACTCATCCCCACCCTGCACTGGTGTCCCACTGCCCAGCTCTCTGAGACCAAGGCCTCTCCTCCCTTAGAGAAGGCAGCTTGCTACCCGAGCCTCCAAGGAAACCTTAGCCCAAGGTTACCTTTTGGTTCCCAGGAATCCCTTCACACCTCGAGGTGGGTAAGTCTGGCTCCTGGGCGTTGCAGGAGGGTCTTGAGTAGAGTTCCTTCGAGCTTCATAACCCAGTCACACTCAAAGGTGCAGCCTGCAGCTGGAGACCAGTAAAAAACTCCAACTCATGGCGACCCATGTATGTCAGAGTAGAACTGTGCCCCATACAGTTTTCAATAGCTGATTTTTTAGAAGTAGATTACCGGGCCTTTCTTCCAAGGTGCCTCTGGTGAATAAGAACCACCAACTTTTGGTTAGCAGCACAGTGCATTAACCGTTTGCAGGGACTCCCTGCCCTATTCTTCAGAAACGCCCTTCAAACCTTCAAATTCAATCCAGCAAACTAGTTATTGACCACCCACTGTGTGCCCAGCTCTGTGTTTGCCTGTGGAGGTGACGATAAAGGACAAGTCTCTGCCGTGTGGACTCTAGGGTCTCAGAGCACACAGAGCTCAGGAAGTGAGAGCTGTGGACTTACATATACAACACTCACAGTCATAAGTCACACCTACCACCTCCTCTGGTTTTTGTTTTAACAGCTTTATTGAAATGTAATTCACATACCATACAATTCCTTCATTATCAGTGTACAGCGCAGTGGTCTTTAGTATATTATAGACTTGTGCAACCATCACCACTGTCTAATTCGAAAACATTTTCATTACCCCAAATGGAAACCCTGTACCCATTAGCAGTCACCTCCCACTCAAGCCCCTGGCAACTGTTCGTCTTCTTCCTGTCTCTGGTTTTGCCTATTCTGGACATTTTATAGAAATGGAATCATACACTATTTGACCTTTTTTTATCTGGTTTCTTTCACTTAACACAATATTTTTGAGGTTTATCCATGTCATAGCGTGTATCAGTGCTTTGTTATTTTTTATGGCTGAATACTATTCCATTGTATGGATATACTATATATTTATCCATCATCTGTTGGTGAACATGTGGGCTGTTTCTACTTTTTGGCCGTTGTGAATAGTGCTGCTGTGAACATTCACGTACAAGTCTGTTTGGGCATATGTTTTCATTTCTCTTGGGTAGATACCTAGGAGTGGAATTGCTGAGCCATATGGTAACTCCATGTTTAACTTTTCGAGGAGCTGCCAAATTGTTTTCCAAAGTGGCTGCACCATTTTGCATTCCCACCAGCAGCGTAGGAGGGTTCTGATTTCTCTACCTCCTTGCCAAGACTTGTTGTCTTGCGTTTTTCTGATTATTCCCATCCTAGTGGCTGTGAAGTGACATCTCATTGTGGTTTTGATTTGCGTTTTCCTGATGCCTAATGATGTTGAGCATCTTTTCATGTACTTGTTGGCCTTTTATGTATCTTATTGGAATAAATGTCTATTGAAGTCCTTTGCCTTTTTTTAATTGTATTAATTGTCTTTTCATTGTTGCGTCACAAGAGTTCTTTGTTTATTCTGGGTACAAGTCCCTGATCAGACCTATGATTTGCAAGTATTTTCTCCTAGTTTGTGGGTTATCTTTAACCACAGATATAAAATCTGACCAAAAAGTCTTTCACAGAGGAAGTGGAAGGTTTACCCCAACCCATTTGGAATAAGTAATGGGTTGAGGGCTGTTTGGAGATTTGGGCTGTAGGGAAATCCAGAATTCAGCTTTTACCCTCAGACTAGCCCATGTACTTGGGGCTATCACCATTCTAATCTGGATCCACATGGAGTATGCTGGCCCACAAATTCCCAACAACAACCCTGAGGAAAAGCCAAAGCAGGAATAAGTCGTGTTTTACCTAATAAAGCCAGTCTTGACCAACAGAGCATTGACAAGAAACCCCAACCCCACACAGCTCAGGGGGGAGTGGGGCAGCCGAGGTGGCCCCTTAGTGGCAGAGAAGGGCTTCCCAGAGCATCCTCAAGTCACTCTCACAAGGCAAAGCTGAGGGCGAGTGGGATGATAAGGGTAATTAGATTCAAGTGGCTGGATTTTACTTACCTGGCCTGCTGCCAGGCCTCCTGACTCATGTTGCGTTACAATGCTGACTCAGTGTGGTGCTTCCCACTCTGGAGGTGAGGTGGGGGCTAGTTGACAAGGGCAGCCCTTCCTGGGATGGTAAAGTAAGTCCCTGTGCCACTGTCTTCTGTCACGGATACGAGGGATCCATGAGCTGTTTGACTGTTTGTAAAGAAGAATTAAGACTCACCCTCTAGACCCCAGGCCTCTCTGTTCTAGATTTCTGCACACACACACACACCCTGCAGCAGGGCGTCCCCACGCTTAGTATCTGTTGTAACGCAGCTCTGACAGCGTGGTCCCTGGCTGCCCGTGACACCGAGTTGTGCTGGTCTGTGAAGATGGGCTTGTGATGAGATGGAGGAATGGAAGCTGAGGAAGCAAAAGTTGAGGGGTCTGTCTTCACTGTTCATGGTGCTCTCTCCCTCTCCCCCTCTAGAAGCCAATGGCTCCTGCTCCACTTGTGGGGGGCTGGTGGTGCCCCTCCTCCTCCCAGATAAGGAGACTCCTTCTGCGCTCGGTGACACGCCCCGGCCCCAGGACTGCACCCCTGTCATCTCCTGCCTCACCCTGCCTCTACCACATGATGAGGAAGTAGGAGAGACTTCAAGCCCCAGACCCCTGGGGGTCAGCCTAGTGGACCCAGGGGCTGGCCGAGCCCCCAGCGCACCACTCAGAGATAGCCTGAACCACCTCAACCTACCCCCGCTGCTGCTCCTGCACACGAGGTGGCCCCCGATCCTGGGTCCAGGTGGGGACAAATCTCCAGAAAAACTGTACGGGGCTGCAGGGACATCCCGGCCGCCAGGCTGCTTTGAGTGCCTCGACTGCCACTGGCCCCACCACACCGTGGCTGGGCTGGCCAGGCACCAGCAGCTGCATTGCGACCTACAGCCACGGCACTTTTTCAGCTGCAAGCACTGTGACAAGGAGTATGCCAGCCTGGGCGCCCTCAAGATGCACCTGCGCACCCACACACTGCCCTGCGTCTGCGCACTCTGCGGCAAGGCCTTCTCCAGGCCCTGGCTGCTGCAAGGCCACATCCGCACTCACACAGGTAAGTGACCCCTGGGCAGGGACCCTGCAGGTAGGGACCAAGTGGGTTGGGCTCCACGCAGGTAGGGTAGGGCAGGGGAGGAGCCCTCTGCACAGGGATTGGGTTTGTCCGAGGAGGTGGGAAGTGGGGTAAGAAAGTGAGGAGGCCCATCACCAGACAAGTGGAGAACAAAATGTGGTCCATCCACACACTGGAATATCACTCAGCCATAAAGAGAAATGAAGTTCTGACACATGCTACAACATGGATGAACCTTGAAAACATGCTGCTTGAAAGGAGCCAGTCACCAAAGGACAAGTACTGTCCGCTTATATGAAGTGTCTAGAACAGGCAAATGCATAGAGACCGAAGTAGATCAGGGGTTCCCAGGGGCTGAGGGAGGGAGGCATGGGGAGTGAAGGGGCACTGAGTTTCGGTTTGAGGGAGTGGAAAACTTTTGAAAATTAATAGTGATGACAGTTGCCACCATGGTGAGTGTCATTACTGTCACTGGATTGTACACTTTAAAAGGTTAAATGGCAAATTTAATGTCCTATATATTTTACCACAGTAAAATTTAAAGGCAAGGAAAGGCCAGAGCGGAGGGAGGGAGTTGTAGGAACAATGAGAGGGAGAGGTCACGTCCAGCTCTGCCTCCCGGGAGCCCAGGAGTCTGTTTTTGGCATTCTGGGCTGTTTAGAACTCCAGAGAAGTGGAGCTGGGCGGGAGAAAGAGCTGAGGGGGATGAGGCCTGAGTCACCTGGCCTGGTAAGCGTCAGGGAGAGCAGCTGGGACTTCACTCAGATTCAGGAGAGTGAGAGGGTGGCTAAATGATGACAGGAAATAAAGGGGACAAAGGAGGAGGGGAAGAGGGGGAAGAAGACCCAGAGACAGAGGAAAGGAAGGGAAGTCAGAGCTTGTTGCTGAAAGAGGCCTTGGAGGTTAGCCTTTTCTTCCATAGATTGAAACCAAAGCCCACAGAGAACACAGGGACACTCTGCCCGGGTGACTTGTGACCAAGCCCACATCCACCCCAGCCCGGTCTGTTCGACCACGCCAGGCAGATTTCAAGACGAGGAGAGAGAAGCAGGCTCCAGGAGTAGGAATCGTGTCTTGCTCTCAGACCCAACAGTTGCAACACAAGCCTTTTGCAATGGGAGGCTCCTGACCCCAGGTCACGGCCCTGTGGCTGGTGTGCCCTGAGTCACCCCAGTGGAGGGGGAGGGCAGGTGTGTTTGCGGGAGGAATCCCCAGGTCCCAGAAATCTCGGTTTTTCCTCCATACTTTGCCAAGGACGTCTTCGGATGCCCGTTCTTTTTCAAAGGATGCTACTCTCGAGCTCTGGTGTGTCTGGAGTGCACTGTTCTGGGTCTGCGGTGCCCCAGTGCTGACCAGCAAGGGTGTAGGTGCTCTGTGTCCCTTTGCAACTGCAGTCTAGCATCTATCAGGATTGTGTACAATGCAGGCTGGATGCAGGCCCTGCAGGTAGAGGACAGTGCCCTGCCCTTGATCTTTGTTAGGGTCCTCTTGCTGACTGCATTCCCACAGCAGGAACTAGGAGCCCTGTCTGAAGGTGCTTTGGAGAATACAAGTGAATTATTTTTGTGGCAGAAACATATAACACTATCATGATGTTTAGGTTTTCATCAATGGAGACCTTTTCTTCTTAGTCTATTCAAAGTAATGTAGCTGCTTGGTTTACTTCCACGATACTCAGGAGCATCCTTTGGCAAAAAAAAAAAAAGATTTAATGCAGCATTTGCCAGTTCAACATTTTTTACATGTATAATTCAGTGACAACTACTACCTTCACCACCCATATCCATTACCAAGTTTTCTATCACCATTAACAGATACTCAATGCTTCCTCAATGAGGACGCCCCCTTCCTGGCCAGGGATCTCCACTCTTTCCTAAATACCTGCTTCCTGGGCAGGTCTGTAGGGCTGTGCTCTTCACTGCTCTGCCTGCAGGCTCAACCCTGTAGGACCCCAGCCATCCCCACCGCTTCCCCATCACTGGGACGACCTGGGGCTTTTCATATCAGATGTGGGGAGGAGGCCCCAGGAGAGTCCAGGCAGACATGAAGTGGAAGGAGTCAGCCATGAGGCACCCTCTGTTTCTTAGGGGGATTTTAGATACTACAAAGTATGCCCCACCCTGAGCAGCTCACCTCAGGTAACTCATGCTGCTCAGCCCCATTGCTTCCTCCTGGAGGTCTCTAAGGCTCCCTCCTTAGAGAGGGGCAGTGAAGGCCTGTGAGTGAGTCTTTGGAAGGGGGATAAAGAGGGGTTTTTAATTTATAAGAGGGGCCTGTAAACTGCCTCCTTTGCCATGAGACCAGAAGAACTGGATGGTGCCCAGCTACCATTACTGAATATTTTGATCAAAGATTCTATAGAATTCTGATTAAAAGAGTGGAAATACAGAACAGAATTTCAAATTTTCATGGAATCCAGAGTTTCTGGAGCCATGGAGGCTGAATGAACTCCTGAAACTATTGCCCTGAGATAATCTTTAAACCTTAAACCAAAAATATTCCCTGAAGTCTTCTTAAAACCAAACAAAACGAGATTGGAACTCTTATGCACTGCTGGTGGGAATGTAGAATGGTACATCCACTATGGAAAACGATATGGTGCCTCCTTAAAAAGCTAGAAATACAAACACCATACTAGCCAGCAATCCCACTCCTAGGAATATATCCTAGAGAAGTAAGAGCCATCACATGAATAGACATATGCACACCCATGTTCATTGCAGCATTATTCATTCACAATAGCAAAAAGATGGAAACAACCTAAGTGCCCATCAACAGATGAATGGATCAACAAATTATGGTACATACACACAGTGGAATACTACACAGAGATAAAGAACGATGATAAATCTGTGAAATATCCCACTACGTGGATGAATCTGGAGGGCATTATGCGAGTGAAATGAGTCGATCACAAAAGGACAAATTTTGCATGAAACCACTGTTACAAAAACCCAAGAAAAGGTTTACACACAAAAAAACCCACAATCTTTGACAGTTACAAGGGAGGGGAGGGGTGGGGAGGGAAATCACTAACTAGATAGTAGACAAGTGTTAATTTTGGTGAAGAGAAAGACAATACACAATACAGGGGAAGTCAGCACAACTTGACCAAGGCAAAGTCATAGAAGCTTCATAAACACATCCAAACACTTCGAAGGACAAAGTTACTGGGCCTAAGGGCTGGAAACCATTGTCTTGGGGGACATCCAGGTCAACTGGCATAACAGTTCATTTAAAAAAAATGTTCTACATCCTACTTTGGTGAGTAGTGTCTGGGGTCTTAAAAGCTCAAGAGTAGCCACCTAAGATATATCTATTGGTCACATCCCATCCAGAGCAAAGACGAATGAAGAAAACAAAAGACACAAGGAAAGTATTAGTCCAAAGGACGAATGGACCACATGAACCACAGCCTCCATCAACCTGAACCCAGAAGAACTAGATGGTACTGGGCTACCACCACCCACCGGTCTGACAGGGGCCACAATAGAGGGTTCTGGACAGAGGGGGAGAAAAATGTAGAACAGAATTCAAATTCACAAAAAAAGACCAGACTTACTGCTCTGACAGAGACTGGAGGAACCCCCGAGACTGTGGTCCCCAGACATCCCACTAACTCAGAACTGAAGCCCCTCCCAAAGCCCACTTTTCAGGCAAAGATTAGAGAGGCCTATAAAACAAACAATAACACAAATGAGGAATGTGCTTCTCAGTTCAATCAAGTATACGAGACCAAATGGGCAGCACGTGCCCAAAAGCAAAGACAAGAAGGCAGAAAGGGACAGGAAAACTGGATGAATAGACAAGGGCAACCCGGGGTGTAAAGGGAAAGGCGGGGGAGTGCTGACACATTGCAGGGATTGCAACCAATGTCACAAAACAATTTGTGTATAAATTTTGAATGCGAAACTAATTTGTGCTGTAAACTTTCACCTAAAGCACAGTAAAATTAAAAAAAAAAAGCAATAGCTTAATTAGTAAAGAATGTCTACCTCGAGCATTGTGCTCTTTTGAGGTCTGTCTACATGGGATCAAAGTGACAGCAGCAACTCGAAAGATTAGATAGGAACCTTAGAAGGCAGTAAGTTTATGTTAATGAGCGAGGAGCAACTCAGTAAAAGAATGGTTGCACAACTCGAAGAATGTAATCAATGTCACTAAATTGTGCATGTAGAAACTATTGAATTGGTCTATGTTCTGCTGTGTACGTTCTCAACAACAACAACAAAAATAAATGTATTAAAAAAAAGAGGGACCTGTGACTGCTGGGCCTGCTTTCCTGGGGCTGTTCTGATAGGTCGAACATTCACTATCACCTGTCTTTCTCCCCAGGTGAGAAGCCCTACACCTGCTCACACTGCAGCAGGGCCTTCGCCGACCGCTCTAACCTCCGGGCGCACCTGCAGACACACTCAGATGTCAAGAGGTACCAGTGCAAGGGATGCGCCAAGACCTTCTCCCGCATGTCCCTCCTGGTGCGCCACGAGGAATCAGGCTGTTGCCCTGGCCCCTGAGCGATGGCTGGTCAGCACTGGAGGAGAAAAGAGGACCAAGCTGGGGACCTAAGGCTGGCATCCTTCCTGGGAACATGTGTCACTTGGAGCCCAGAGGAGCCCCGTGTTGGGCCATGACCTCGCCCCCCATCTGCTGGCCTCTTTCCCACTGCCACCTCCCACCTCTGGTCAGAGCCGGCAAGTCAGGTGGCAGTGGCCTGCAGGCTGACCCTGGGCTGCCATCCAAACCCCCGACCCCATTCAGCCCGGGAGAGGTGCCTCGTCTGCATCCAAACAGGCATCACGTGTAGCTTGCACCTTGGTGTGGTTTTCAGTGACATCTCTCAAGAGTTCAAGGCTCTGTGGGGAGATGATCACCAGCTTTGGAAAGTTCTTCCTGCCTCTAAACTGACTAACGGGGTGTCTTTGGGGTTGTCTGGTGTGGAGCCCATCAGTAAGACATGGCCTGGGCTGGCCTCCACCCTGCCTGTGGTTGGGGGCTGGGACACGCTGTCCTCTGTCAGCCTACGCACAGATGCACGCCCTTCCCCCACCTCCCTGAGATGGAGCAGGACACACAGAGCCAGAGAGTGTGGACACGGCATGTCAGGGGAGCCCCGTCCCCCCCGATCTGCACCTTTGGAATATCACCTCGTGGAACCCTCGACGCCACCAGCTCTGTTGCTCTGATGGCGTCTGAAGAGAACATGGCCGCTGGGTAATAAAGAGCCCCTCACTACTGTTGTCTGTCCTTGAAGTCACTGGTCTTGCTTAACCCCCCTGTCAGCAGGAGGCTGACCCCCAAGGCAGCAGCCTCCCAGGATAGTGGGGCCTCTGGCCGCAGAGCAGGGGACTGGAGTAGGGGCTGTCAGAGGAGGGGGGAGGCTGGAGGGGGGCATTGGAGTGAGGTAAAGGGAGGCTTCTCTGGAAGCGAGGCAGCAAGAAGGGGTGCAGAGCTGCACAGGCTGACGGGCACAGGACGTGGGCCATGGGTGAGGAGGGCTGATGAGAGAACTCAGATGCACCTAAGGCTCGTGAACCAGCCCATGAGGGGTCCATGTGTCTGGGTGGGCAGGGGTGGATTTTTTCCGTTGTTGCATTTAGAAGAGGATCCAGTTCTCTGTCCCCAGTGACAGAACACCGTGTGGGTTTTACCTAATTGCCACTATCTTGCCGAGGGCTGGCCATCTGTGTCACCGTAGTGGTCACTGCTGTTTTTCCTCCATGTCCTGGAGCAAGCATCTTAGACCCACCTGCCCTGCCTGAGACCCTCACAATGCCCCAAAGTGACTTGGACACCAGGAAATAAGACCCTCCCCCAAGGTCCCCCACCCGGCTTGGTGGCTTCATATCCTTCTCTCACGTGCTCACCCTACCCCTAGGCAGCTCAGACCATCTTCCACTGGGCTGCCCCACTCCATGTCTGGGTCTGACCTGCCCCAGCTCGGCCTGGAGGGTGGCACCCAGGATGAAGGGCATATCCAAGTCAGCCAGGACTGATGTCAGCAGCTCTACTCCTGGCCCTGGCCAAGGGACACGCAGCAGGCACCTTGAAATGGAGCCACCAGCCAAGTGGGCCTGAGCCTCCTGAACCTGCCGAGCCTCTGCTTCCCTTCAGAGAACATTCTAGAATGCTCACTGGGGTGACGCTGGGGCTCAAAGCACCCCATTCTGCACCAACCAGGTTTAGTCTTGGCTACAGGCAGTGATGACATCCAGCCTGGGCTGACCGCCCGCAGAGACTTGACCTGGCTGCCGTCTCAGGCAGCCAAAGGGCCTGGGTGGCTGGTTTCGTGGCAGCCATTTGAGGGGCCTTAGGGACATCCCAGGGGAAGCCGCCCTTGATCTTGGGATCCTCTGGGCCAAGAGTGGCCTTGGTGAAATGGGCCACCCAAGGCAGCCTCCAGTTCCAGCCAACCCCAGACCCCGTGTCAGAGAAACAGACCCTAAGAAAGTCACACTCCTGTCCCCAGAGGCAGGACCACAATCTCACACCCGCAGGGATCAGCCGCCCTTCCAGAGCCAGTGTGAACTGAAGGCTGGGATGTGCCCACCCAGCTAATGAGAGTGTGAGTTTTCAGAAGCGCCCAGAGGTGCTTGGAGCTTAAGGGGGTTGAATCCTCTTACTTCTCTTTGCTCTCAGTCTACACAGGATCATGGGGCATCATCATAGGAACCACAGGATCATAAGAAACCCCCCTAGAGTCACCTCCCCCCGTGTGGGACCTCCTGCTAAGAGGAGGCTGGTCTCCCTACTCCCTCTGTTACCATCCCCCAGGGCAAAGGTAGGGCACGAGTTAGGATTGCACCCCTGGAGTGGGTGGCGGGAACAGGTTTCTACCTCACAGGGTGGTCCTCCCTCCTCAATTGTCTCCCAAACTCATTCCCCCCGGGGACCCAAGCGGCCCTCGGGCTGGGAGGGGGCTCTCCGTAGACCTGGCAAGGGTAACTCCGGCTGATATCGAATGTGGAGAATGGGCACTTGCAGGAGAGCGTTTTTTGTTTTTTTTTTTTAATAGCAGCCAGATGCCTAAAGGAAGCTATATTGTAAATTGTGTTCTATTTCCAGGCCCCGGTAGCTAAATGGGGCTATTGCACCTGTTGGCATGAAGGAAGGGAATTTCACAGGCCAAAAATAAAGTCGAATGTTTTCCCTTCTGTTACAGCCCATGGAAAATGCTCTTGTATTTATATCTGGGCTGACGAAGGGCAGGGGGTAGTGGAGGTTGAACTGGCACGGAGCTAGGAGAACAGCAGCAGCCCTGCCAGGGAGCTGGTGGACAAGGAATGGGGGAGGTTTTCCACCTCGAGGGAGTCAGGTGGGCACAGACGGCAGCCAGGCCCCCATGCCCGTTGCCACCCCTAAGTCCTCTTGGACTCCTGCACCCTCAAGGATTCGTGGTGATCTTTACAATGAACCTGGTCCTCTCCCAAGACCGACCGGAGTAGAATCACCAAGTAGGGGTCTAAGGAGCTAGTGGAAGCTAGCTGGGTGGGTGGTGCAAATGGTTAACGTGCTTGGCTGCTAACTGAAAGGCCGGAGGTTCTAGTCCACCTAGAGGCACCTCGGAAGAAAGGTCTGGCCTGGTGATCTACTTTCAAAAAAACAGCCATTGAAAACCCTATGAAGCACAGTTCTGCTCTGACACACATGTAGTCTTCAGGAATTGGGGCCGACTTGATGGCTCCTGGTACTGGTTAAGGATCTAAAATTTGCAATAGTCCCAGGCGATTTGTATCCTCAACTAAGTGTGGAAGCTTGCCTCGACTAGCTCTTTTTCTCTGAGGACTGTGATTTGGGTTTCCACTTGAATGCCTTCTTTTCCTGCCAATTTTTACACATCGTATTTCACTTTTCTCCCTAAAGGAAGTCCTTTTTTTCTTTTTTTTCCTTCTTCTTAAATTTTGTGGTAAAAATATACGTAACAAGAAATATGCCATTTTAGCCATTTTTAAGTGAATGATTCAGCGGCATCAATTCTATTCACCATGTTGTGCAACAATCACCACTATCTTTTTCCAAAAACAATTCATTCAGCTCTCTAGGGCTGGGGTCTCCAGCTTCTGCCCAGCATGGCAGGTCCTTGGGTGGCGGACCCAGAGACAGCAGATGACCGGCAGAGCCGGAACAGTGCCAGAGAACGCGGGAGAGAAAATCGTGAGACCACTGCCTGCCTCCCACTGTTTTCTGACTCATAGGGTAAAAGCAAAGAGAGCAACCAGTCTTTGGCGAGCAGGGGCTATAGGGACAGGTGTAACAGGGACGCCGAGGCTCCGTGGCTGGTTTCTCTCCTGAAAGCAATGAAGTGCTGAGGCTGTGCCTTTGCTTCCAGAAGCACAGAGGCAACTATAAATATCAATTTGCCCCAGAATCTTCTGGGGGGTTCTCTAGATGTTTGAAAATAGCCTACTTGTTACTATCTATACTCAGAGAACCCACTCCTGGCCTCCACTTGTGTGCCTAAGTATAGCTCCCTGGCTCAGCTCAATGGAACAAAAGTTTCCAGGCCTCCATTACCCAGTGGGTGGCGGAACATTCCAGGGGGAGCACCTCAGCTGCCAAGACTCAAATGAGCTCAGAGAGAGGCTAGAAGGGACACAGGATGCTGTCCACGGCCCGGCTCAGCTCAAAGGCTTCCTGCTTCGCTGGAGAACTCTGCAGGGCTCACAGGGGAAATAAGCCTGCCGCTCCCAGCAGTACGAGCTCGACACCAGTAATGTTGTCTGTTGGGGTGGACCTGAAGTGATTATAAAACCTCAGTCTCCTCGTCTGTAAGAAGGAAGAGTACTAGCTCTATGAGCATACCAAGTGCATAACAGAAAGGGGCACCTAGCATACCTAGACTAAAATATAATTGCCAACTGAAGGACAGCCCTCAGCCTTGTCTCCTCCTAGAATCCAGGTCCATTTCCTGATAGCCAAGTCTGCCTCCAGTCAATCCCTCCTCCCACTGCCCCTCCCTGTGCACCCGGCCCCAGTGTGTTACTATGAGTGATGCAGGGGCGCGGAGCAAGGTGGCAGGAATTTCTGTTCCAAGGTCCAGCGTAGAGGGGAACATTTCTGACCTGGTTAGGTGAGCACATTCCATGTTTGGGGATCAGGACGAATCTCCACATAAGGTCACCTCCGGGCCCCCCCTAAGCTTTGACCAGCAAGCTGTCCCTGAGAGATTGCCTCCCTCGAAGCTGAGCGCTGGTGCCTGGAATTGCCTCCCCCCACCCCCACTCACCCTTCACCTCCTAGTCAGCTCCTCATCTGTTTCCTCTGCCCGCTATCTTCTATCTTTTGTTCTCTGTCCTAAGGATAAACTCGTGACTCATCCTTCAAGAAAATGTGGAATCATTTCATTTTGCTCATCCAGCTCAAAATACCAGCAATCCATTTCCTTTCCCTGGGAACAGGCATGGAGGGAGGCCCCCAGGAAACAAGCCATGTCTCCATGGATGGTTCCAGATGATGGTGAGAGACGTGAGAGAAGTCTGGTCATGCAATTACAGTGCTTCTCTAAAGATTTACAGCC